CTTTAGATTTAGATTTTTCAGCGATGCTGAAACTGTTATGATTTCAGCAACTCCTGGAGACAGACTAAATGCCTTTTAGATAAAGAGAAGTGTTTGAGTTTTGGGGGGCCTGGGTGGAATATTATGGCTTGTGTTTAGATGTCCCCCCAAAGCCTCATGCAGTCATAGGTGGAGCTTTTACAGAGGTGGTGCTAATGGGTGTGAGTAAAACCATTTCATGGTAGAATGCTAAGATCCAGGGCTCGAGGATTAAGGGTGTGAGTGCTAGCTGCCCTAAGTAGCCCAGATAAGATATGAGAGATTAAAAGAGCAGTGGTCATTCCTTGCTTGCTTGTTGCTTTTGCTGTTTGCCACAAACTGCTTCACCTCTGTTATACCTGTCTGCTATGCCACCCTATCTTACAGCCAGCTAATTTTAAACTAAACCCTCTACAGACTGTGAGCTAAATAAACCTTTCCTCCTTTAACTTTGGGTATCAGGTATTTTGTCTCAGCAATGAAAAAAATATCTAACACATATATTATTATGTAAATTGCTTAATATCCTGATATCTTTTTAGGTTGTTATGGAAGGGAGAGTTCACAGAGGCGCTGTTTCTTTGAGATGTCCACAGCAATGCTGATATTACCAGAAATTCTCACAAACCCCCTGAATTTATAAGCAGGGAGATCACTGAAAAAGTTCTTATCTCCATCTTCAGAAGACGGTAACTGCTCTGTCTAGATCCAAACTGTCAAATGTACAAGCAGTAAACACAGCTGGCTCTTTAAATTTAAATTCTAATTGATTACGTGTAAATTTAAAATCTAGTTTATCAGGCACACTAGCCACATTTCAAGTATTCCACAGCCACATGTGGCTAATACTGCTGTATTGGACATCAGAGATACCAAACATTTCTATCCTCTTAGAAAGTTCTGTGGGACAGAGTCATAGTTAATGTAACTGGAATTTTTATCTAGCTGAGGAATGGATGTCAGTCATACAGGTTAATAAAGAATAAAATGAAAGCTCCAAATCTGAAAAGCTCCCTCTGTACCAACATGGTCCACATATACTTGGCACTTTTACTCTGAACCCAGAATGCCTCTAGCTATCTGAAAAGAGACCTCAGAGAACAAATGGACTCATAGCTTCCCAGAGCCTCTACTTAGTACCTATTTCTTGCTTTTCGTTAATTTATGCTTATGAAGTTTTATGTATTTGTGTTGCATAGGTAACAAGCCATAGTCTTGCGCTGTATGTGAGGTTAGGATCTTCAAATCTGGGACAGTATTCAATTGAATGCAACCAAATCGTATGGATGTGCTAAATACTATTTTAAATAAAATTTAATAAATTAAATAAAATTTAATAAATCTACTGAGATGTTCAAGTTAGTTTTGAGTGTTTTGTTTTCACAAACACCACTGCAATGAATGCTCATGTATAGAAATCTTTTATACATTCAGGCTATAACTCTGTGGGATAGTATGCTAAAAGATTTCTGCTGAGTCATAAGGCTATGAACACTTTAATTTTAACGGGTACTGGGAATTACCTTTCTCAAGAGTTACACCAATGTATTCAGGCTCTAATAGTACAGGAAAGGCCCTTTCATCCATACTGTTCCCACCCCTGGATATTATCTGTCTTATTAATTTTTGCCAATATGTTGGTTTTTACTTGCTTTTTCTTCATCATTAGTGAAGCCAAGGATCTATTTACATGTTAATTGGCTATTTGAAGACCCATAAACTGTCTTTTCATGGCTTTTTAATATGCTTTGCTATTTTATTTATTAATATTTATAAGCTAGTTTGTCTTTCACTGATTGATTGCAGAAAAGTATAGGTTTACTGAATGATTTTTCATTTTACATGCAACAGATATCTGTCTTCCTCAAACCATCCCTCCACCTGCCCTATTTCCCTCATCATCTCTGCTTTTAACTTGATTTAAAATGTCTTTTGTCATTCACAGGTTCTTATATCATCAAGCCTGTCAGTCTTTTCCTTTAAGTCTTGTAGGTTTTAGGTCTTTCCTAAAACATTTTTTTTTAAATTTATGATAATTTCAAACTGTAATGTATATGGGATTTATTTTTGTGAGAGACAAGTTCCAATTTAACTTTTTGCAAATAGATGATCCATTATTCAGTATCACTTTCTAGAAAAATCTTTTCTAAATGACTTGAAATGCCATATTTACCATGTATTAAAAAATTTAGTCTATTCTGGACTCTAAATTTGCTATAGCATTTACCTATTGTCTTCTTGCTTCTAGATTATAAAAAACTGCATGGACCTGAGGAAATTCAAGGTTCCAATTCTAATAAAATGCTCTTACTTTCATCAGTCAGGGCCAGAGTTAGTAACTGGGCAAACATACATTCAGGACTTACAATGTATTTTGCAATCAATCTCCGTTACCAGATTTCATACACCTCACTCAAAAGTGGCACTATATTTGCATATGGCAGGACACTGAATATCTGTTGAGTTTGCTAATACACAATAGTGAGTTAAATTTACTCTGGATATGTAATTTAAAAGTCATAATCTGATAGATGTCAAGTTTTATCTCCTTAACAGTAAATCCTAGCAATCGCAAATGTTAGTTTGGATCACCTAAAGTAACACAGTAACTTCATAAAAGCCACTTCAATATCATATCTCTAAAAAATAAAGTTCCAGTGCATTTGACAGAACCTTTGGTGTTCTGGGAGTGCCCTCTCCAACTCTTCATGACAGCTATTACAGATTTTTACTCTTCCTTCAAATCTCCCACTGGAGGTAAACTTCCAGATTTTACCACCATACCACCTATACCTTGCCCTTCCTCCAATAAGAGTAAGTGCTGTTGGCTAGGACAAGCCCTCCCAGTTTAGGTGAGAACACTTTTTACCATCCCTCTTTCCTGTGCCGCTCCTCTCTTCAAGATCATTCTCATCAAGTCAAGAACTGGAAATATTTTCATCTTAAAAAAAAAAAAAAAAAAAAAAACTTTCCTACTAGTCCATATTCCTATTCCTCTCCAATTACCATATTTCCCTTCACCCTCTGTAGGAAAACTCATAGCTATGTTTTTTCCCCTCTCTGCTTTTCACAGACTGGGTCTACCTTAATCAAGTTTCATTACCTACCACTCCTCTGAGTTTGTAATGACTGAGGTTCTCCGAACTTCCGTGTGGCCAAAACACAACAGATAGTTCTTAGTCTGCAACCTCTAGCAGTGCCTTCTACCACAGGGGAGTACTCTGCTCGTTCTGTATTTGGTTTCAAACACAGGCAGTTCTCGAGGTTTCTCTATACCTCACTGACTGCTCCTTCTCGGTCTCCCTGGATGAGTCCTCACCATTCTCTGACTTGTACATGTAGGTGTAAGAGAAGCCCACAGTCAGTCTTTAAAACTTATTTCTCTTCTAACTACATTTACTCTCTGGGTAATCTCATCTAACTCATGGCTTTAAATATCTCAGACTCCTAAATTTTTATCTCCATACCCAACCTCAGCCATGAACTCAAAACTCATTCAGTACAAGATGCTGCACCAGTATATTAACACAGTATATTCAAAATCCAAACAAAACAACAGCACCAACAAAATCCTGTCCTTTTTATACTTTCTAAAGCACCCACCCATTCAGTTAACAATCTAGCTAAACGCCCATTAGTCCTTGCCTCAATTACCCTAAAAACCTTCTAGTGAGTCTCTAATATTATGCCACATTCTTTTTCCCTAAATTCTGTCTCATCAAGTAGGTGAACTACCTACTTGATCTTTTTAAATTATAAACCCAAATTTGGAATTTGGGGAATTATTTAAATTTGTCTCTACTCCTTATTTATCTATCTTCCATTTTGCTTCTAGTTTCTCATATAAAAGAAATCGTATGATATTTAAGCTTGTGTGTCTGACTTATTTTACTTAACATTATGTTCTCAAATTGCATCAATTTACCTATGAGTGCCTCAAGTATATGTTTATGCACAGTACTCCACTGTGTATGAATACCACATTTTCCTTATCCATTCATCTGTTGATGGACATGTATGCTGTTTCCAGAATCTACCTATTATAAATAGTGCTGCTATACTACTAAGTTCTCTTTTGTGCTATTATCTGTCTTGTTTCTTCTTTGTAAGAGAGAATTTTTTCTATTCATGTCTCCTAGTCTGAATAACTACTGCGAAGATAATGATACACAGTGTAATAACCATTGTTACTCTCTTATTATTTTGTTATGGAATTTGTTTTCTATTTTGTAAAATGAAAAGAAATTATAAACCAGGGCTGGGTATAGAGCTCACTTGCTTAGTATGCATGACGCCTTGGGTTCAAACCCCAGTACCGAAAAAAATTATATATGTATATATGATTGTGAAACTCTTCTCAAAATTTTCCAGGGGCGTCCCACCCATTAGCATAAAATCTAAAATCCTTTCATAACCTATAAAGTTGCAATCTGAGTCCTGTCTACCTGCTTAACCTCATCTTTTACCACTACCACATCACTCATTAATCAAAACAAGTTTTGCTATAAATAAACAAAATATTGTCTTGCTATGCTTCATATACACATCAAAGAATTTCCACCTCAAAAGAAAAAGCTTTGGGTGTATTGTTTTGGGATCTCTGTTTTTGCTCTTCCCTCTGCCTGATACACTGTATCTACAGATATCGCTAAAGCATTATTCTTATTTCATTTGTCTCTGCTCAAACATTATAACTTTTTATCCAGTTTTAGTTTTCTTCATACAGTACTACTTTATACTACTTGCATTCTATTACAGATGTTTATCAAACATTTTAACTAGAACGTAAGTTCTGTGAGAATATGGATTTTTTATTCACTTTTTCTACCCTCAGAATCTGTAACAATGCCTAAAATAGTACGTGTTCAATAAATGCTTATACAAGAAATGAGTAAACAAATGTGCATGTTTGACTATGAATTTGGCTTTCCAATCTTAGTGTATAACCTGAGAGGGGAAAACTGTTTTTAAGCATTACTTACTTTCCGTTGTTTTAGAGAGTCCAATTTTATGAGCCAATATGAAGCCACTTTTGTTTTATGATGCTTCCAGTTATCAATGATCTGTTGGGAGGGAGAAACATTAAGAAATTTAATCTAGAATGGTCATCAAAAGTAATAAATGGAAAGTAAATGAATGGCTTAAAACCATTTTAGTAATTAATGTGTACAGTGAAAGCACTATAACAATATTTGTAATAAAGAATGCGAACTTTCACATAAAGGCATTTGCAAAGACTTCTAACATAAGGCAAAGAAGCTATCTGAATAGCTTCTAAATCCAAAACTTTTTCTTCTTCATGTACCAAAAGCATAATCGCTAATGAATGAATGTCAGAGTCTCTGGGCACACATGTTCTGTGAGGATACCCAAGACATAGACGTTTCTATCTTTATTCCCAAGCCTATATTAGCCACATCACCAACAGTGATTTAATATTGAACAACACATAAGAAGCAACCTATATTTAATAAGGATTCAACTCCCTTTCATGTAAATCTACAGAACTTTTGAGTGTATATTTGTAGTAATATATACAACAGAAAACAATTCAGCATACAGGGCACATATATAAAATAATCTAATAGCTGATGTTATTAATTTCACTTCATACTTATATAAACCTATGTATGTTCTTTTTATCTATGTTCACAACATGGACATGCATGTCACACTGTAGTATAACATCTTTAATTTGGGAGGAATATACACAGGAAAGGAATAGTTAGGTCAAATGAAATCTTTAGTTTTAGTTTTTTGAGGAACCCTCATACTTCTTTCCTTTTTTTTCATTTTAAAGAGAAAAGAGAAAGAAAAAAACAATAAAAATGATACAAAATTTCAAAACAAGATAGGAAATTAACAATGGTTATTATATTACATATTATTATCTTCAAAATAGTTGCTCAGATTACCAGATAGAGGCATGTTAAATTGATTAAAACAATATAAGCACTAACTGTACCTTTCAACGAATTAACAGAAATTAGTAGCAGAATTATATCTTAGCTATCTTGGGTGTGCGTGTGTGTGTGTGTGTGTGTGTGTGTGTGTGTGACCCTTCCTTCTTTTCTCCTTTCCCCCCATCTCCTTTTGAGCAGTTTCTTTCCCTTTCACAGTATCTATTGTACCTTTTGGATCTTATTTCCCAACAGTGTAGCATGGTTCTTTTTTCCCCACATTTTCATCAGCATTTATTGTTTTTGTGTTCTTGACAACCATGCTCAATGGGTAAGATGGAATTTAAGAGTTGTTATGATTTGTATTTCCTTGGTGGCTAAAGGCAGTGAATTTTCTTTCATGTGCATAGTGGCCATTTGTACATCTTCTTTCCACACATGTCTATTCAGTTCATTTGCCTGTCTTTTATTGAGTCATTCATTTCAGGGCAATTCATTCTTTTGAATTCTGTATAAGTATTCTGGATACTATTCTTCTGCCAGAAGAATAACTGGCAAATTTTTTCCCATTCTATGGGTAATTTTTTAAAGCTCTTTTAGTTCTGTTGACTGCTTTGCTTTGCTATACAGATGCTTTTAAATTTTATATAATCACATTTGTTAATTCTTATTATTTCCTCATTTTCCTATGCAACTGGAGTTATGTTCAAGTTTGGGTTCAAGTGTTTCCCTAAGTTATATTCCAGTGGTTGCAGAGTTCCTCTTTTTATATCAAGTCTTTGGTTCATTTTGATTTGATTTTAGTAAAGGATAAGAGATGGAGATCTAATTTTAATCTTCTGCATATGGATACACAGTTTTCCCTGAACTATTTGTTAGAGAGACTATCCTCTTTCCAGTATATGTTTGTGGCTCCTTTGTCAGAAATTAGTAAATGCACGAGTTGTTTCTGAGTCTTCTGTTCTATGTCAGCCTACATGTTTTGTACCAGTACCACGTTTTTCTAGCTACAGCTTTGCAGTATAACCTGAAATCTGGTATGGTGATGCCTCTCACTATGTTCTCTATGCTCAGGATTACTCTGGTTCTTCTGAGTTTTTGGGGGGTCTCATATTCATTTCAGGATTCTTTTTTCTCATTCTGTAAAAAATGTTATTGTTCTTTTAATATGGATTACAGTGCATCTAGAGATTTTTTATAAGACAGCCATTTTAACAAATTAATTCTGCCAACCCAGAACAAGGGATATCTTTCCATTTTCTAATGTCTTTTCAATTTCTTTTTACAGAGTTCTGTAATTTTCAGCATAAAAAGCTTTCACCTCGTTAGTCTGATTCTTAAGTATTTAATTTTTTTAAAGCTACTGTGAATGGAACTGTTTTCTCTATTTCTTTCTCAGTGCATTCATCACTGGGGTACAGGAACACTATTGATTTTTGCATGTAGATTTTGTATCCTGCCACTTTGCTAATTTGCTTATCAGATTTAAAGTCTTCTGGTGGAGTTTTTTGGGTCTTTTATATAAAGAATCACAGAAACTGCAAATAGTGGTAATTTGAATTCTTCCTTTATTATTCATAGCCCCTTTATTTCTTTCTCTTGCCTGATCTCACTAAAGTTTCCAGTACTATATTCACCTGGAGTGGTAAAGGTAGACACTCTTGTCTCATTCTTGGTTTTTAAAGAAAATGCTTTGCTTTCTCTCATTCAGTATGTTTGTGGGTTACACACAACTTATTAGTTTGAGATATGGTCTTTGTATATCTACTTTCATCACAATTTTTAAATTAATGGGATGTTGTATTTTCTCAAAGGCTTCTTCTGCACCTACTGATCTAAGGGATTTTTATCCTTCTTTCTACTTATGTGGTGCATTACTTTTATTGATTTATGTACAATGAACCATTCTTGCATCCCTAGGATGAAGTTGATTTGATCACAGTGCATGATCTTATTAATTTAATGAGTTGTTGAATTCTGTTTGAAAGTATCTTTGTTGCATCCATGTTCATCAAGGATTTTGACCTGTAGTTTTCTTTTTTGGTTGGGTCTCTATGCAGTTTTGGTAACATGGTACAGGGAATGTGTCTGGAAGCACTCCTTTCCTTTCAATAACATGGAAAATTGTAAGGAGTATCAGCATTAGTTCTTTTCTAATGGTCTGGTAAAATTTAGTGCTATATCCCTGAGGTCCTGTGCTTTTCTTTGTTAACTGTGTTTTTATTACTACACCAATTTAATTATTACTGTCTGCTCAGAATTTTTGTATCTTTTTGGTTCACTTTGCATAATTCATGTAACTAGGAAATTATCCATTTCTTTTAGAGTCTCCAATTTATTGAGATATGTTTTCAAAATAGTTTCTAATAATCTTCTGGATTTCAAGTCTTGTAATTCTGCCTTCTTCATTTCTAATTTTATATTAGAAGAGTGGGGCATATCACTCTGTTACTAAGTTTGGCTAAAAGTGTATCAATTTGTATATCCTTTCAAATAACTAATTCTGTGTTTCATTTGTACTTTTTAGTCTCAATTTCATAAATTTCTCCTCGATCTTGATCATTTCTTTCCTTCTGCTAGTTTTAGGTTTGTACTGGTGTTGTTTTTCTAGGACCTTGAAAGGTATCATTATTTTTTTAGCATCACTGTTTTTCCAATATAGGTACTCAGAGCTATACATTTCTCTCTTAGAACTTCTTTCATTGTGCCCCACAGATTCTGATATATTGGATTTCCACTGTTATTTTATCTAGGAATCTTTAAATTTTTTCCCTGATTTCTTGTGTGACTCACTGGTCACTGAAGAGTGTATCACCTAATCTCCATGTGTCCGTACAGCTTCTGTGGGTTTCCTCTACTGCTGATTTCCTGTTTCATTCCACTGTGATCTGACAGGATGAATGAGATTATTTCAGTGGATAATGGCAGCTCCTCTGAGCTATTGTCCTTAGGGCCTCCATGCTCAGGAGCCTCTGGAGTTCCCAGAATGCTGGCAGAGTGCTCACCCCTTGCTGTGCACCTTCAGACTAGGGTCCTTGGCTCGTGCTCCTCGTGTGGGCTCTGCTATCCTCTCTGCCCATTTACTCTGACTCCAGCACTTGCAGTTAACAGCTGCTCTGCCAACCCTCACTCCATCCGCAATTTCAGTTGATCCAGGGGGCAGGACAGAGATAGCACTCTTGGAGTGCTGGGGCTTCCCTCAGTCCTCTTTACTGGCAGATACCTCCACTATTCCTGCTTGCTGATTTTCTGTCTGACCCACAACTTTTGGGGCTTCTAGGATCCAGTAGAAAAGAGCTTCTATGGACACTGAGCTACAGAGTATTTTCTCCTGCTGCAGTGATCATGTGTCACAGCTCTTTAGCATCTCCCAGGGTCTCTCTCTATCCTGAGGCTTCACAGGCATTTGGAGACCAGGGGAGAAGAGCTGTGCTGGTGCTGCTCCAAGTCTCTCCTTACCCCTACTTGTCACTGGTTCCAGGCTCTGCAAGCCCCGGCATCTCTCACTGGCTCAGAATCTGACGGTGCCTGGTTCCAGTCCCTGGCCGGGACCACGTCCTTTGCCCTTCTCTGTCCCTGGCGCTCCCAGCCCCACCCCACTACTATCCTATGAGTGGTCTCCAGCTTGCTGTCTCTATGGTGCTGTGGCTCAGTGAGGCGCTCCTAGGCAAACATCTCACTCACTGAGCGAGTCCTGGAGGAGAAGAGGGAGGCCTGATGGACACTGGGTGGCGGCAGAAAGGTTGAGCACTCACGGCAGAGAGCTGTACATTTCCTAGCATGGTGTGTTCCCCAGACCTGGGCTGGAGCCAGTGCTGGGAGCCAGTGCTGGGAGCCAGCGGGCAATCCTGCTTCTCATTCTCTCCACCCTTGTTTCTGAACTTCTTCGCTTTTCCTCCTCCTTCAATTTTCCTTCCTGCAGCCTGCATCCTAGCACCTGTGCACCCGCTGCCCAGGTGAGGGTCCTCAAGTGTTTCTTGAGTGGTGCTGTCTCCAGTCGGCCATGGTGGAACCCCCACACATGTTCTCTATAGAACAACCACAGAAACCACGAATACCATCCTAGTTCTACTGTCTGGATCCATAATTTTCTTCTACCTGATTCAAAGTGGCAAAATATAATATACTTAAAAGCTATAGTCGTAAGTGTCTGGTATAGAGTTATTGCCCTTAAACAAGAACTTTGTCAAATAAAATATATACATGAATAAAACACATATAGCACAGTGTTTTATAACCCATGTTGTTTTTCCTTTTCCTTGGATGTAACAGTTGGCTCACCTTCAAACAAGTCAGCATTTTCACATATGTGTGCATGCATATGTGTGGGGGGGGCGCGACGCATAATATTTGGGTACTTAATTATAATATGTCTTGAATACAAACTATTAATTTTCACTGATTGTTTAAACCAAGAAAGTTTTTTCCTTGTTTGCATTACATTGGCCTTACGCAGATCTACAATAACGTTAAAAAATCAGAAAGTGTACATCTGTGGTTTTTATCCTATAGTTGACCACTAGATGGTGCCTTCTCCTCTAGAAAAAAAATATAAGGAACCCAGGAATAACATTCTATTATTAAAGAATTTTCTGAGTATTTGAAAAGGATGTTTGGATGAAAAAAGTGGGTCCTTGAGTAAAGAAATTCTCTAGCACCAAAAATATTTTAATATCTTTGGACTTCTTTATGAATTAGAAGTCCAGACTTGCTGTTTTAGTGTGTTCCACTGGGTGGTGCAGATGTGTATATAAGTAGAAAAACACAATTCAGCATATATCATTTCAAAATTTGATAAAAAATGTGACATTCAAGGTGTCACAATGAAATTTTCTTGACATTTTATGACAGAGACCTAATGTTTTCATTACATCTCATTCCATGCTTTTTTGTATAGAGGCAGGTTTAACTTAATCTTTTCCTTAACATTAAGACCAATATTTAACACTAATTATTGTCACTTACTGAAACAGTCTTATTAAAATAGCACTTATACTGAAAGGCATTCTACATTACTAATTACAAATGAGATCTCACTGTTCATGAATCATAGTAATTAAAATAAACCCTTATATTTTATAAAGCTCTTGGTAGTTGAAAAGAATACCAAATAAGAATGCTGTATTATTGAGATAAGGCCATCAGGAAATACATTTTCACATTTTAAGAATAAGCAACACTTCTGGCATTTTATGTACATCAAACACTCACGTCCTCTATCAAAAGTTCTGATTCTGCATCTGATTTTCCTGGAAACCGGATCTTCATGTCCTTGAGAACAAATAAGGTCTGACTTGTTAGTGCATCTTCTTGTTCTTTGGTTTTCAGTTGCCGGAAAGACTCACTCTTAAATTTGAAAGAATACAGATATTTGGAGGGGGTCTTATTTCATTGTGCCAGTATAATCTGAAAGATATTTCTAGGTAAAAATGATGCAGTTTTAATTGAAAAAGATAATAATATTAAAAAAGAAGAAAATAATTAGTTTACATTTATGAATTCTTAGCACTAAATGGATATAAATCCTATGGGCATTACTCGCTTCTAAATGGTTGTTTCATTTGCTTAAAATAACAAAATAAAACCAGGAATATTTAAAAAGGGCTTCCTAGTCAGTTTTGCTTGTCATATACGCCTTAGGAAATTGTTCTTGATTTATAAAATAAAAGCAGTGGTTTTCAAGTGAAATTCATTCAGTAATCTTTCCTGATTCTGTCCTTTGGAAATACCAATATTCAATAAACAAATTAAATAAGTCCCAGGTCTATGTGAAGCTACTTGGCTACAAAATAAAATCACTGGCTTCTTCAATTCTAAATTTATGGAATTCATGCTCAAGAGGGAATATGTTCATTTAAAGTACAAAAAACATTATAAGCAGCAGTATACTTAAGTTCTCTAAGGATAATTCATCTATTTTAACCTATTAATCAATAGTCCCATTAAGTAAAATTTTCCATACAACAAATATATGGATAGACTGTATAAAACTCCTAAAACTATACATTTACTCTGATGATTTTCAACTGTTTTTTCCCACTACGGTAGCAGATAGAAAGTAAAATAATGTTATTCTAGTGTTATTCGCAGAGTTCTGTGATATAGTGAAGTCTGCATCTTAGGAACCACACCAAATTGTAACATACCATAGGTGAATAATCCAAACTTCAGAAGGTTGTGAGTTGAATTATTAAAAGGATCTGAGGTTCAATCTGTTCTCTTAGCTGATCACCTTTGCCAACAAGATTGTGAGTATAATGTTTTCTGAAATCCTAAAAGAGCAAGCTAGATGACTTACCACCTGAGAGCTGGAAGAGCCAGCATCATTGCTGTGAAGCAGCTGCTTTGTGTAGGAGGAAGCCCGGTTTAAGGAATGTGACCGAGATGCTGAAGTTGGCCGTGGTACCGATATCATTTGTTGAGCAGAAAAGGGGCGCGTGTCCCCACTGAAAGGTGAGTGAGCAGAAATGGACCGAGGGCAGCTGACCGAACGCCTCATGGAATCTATCAGTGACGGAGAAGAGGGATAGTACAGTAGTCTTGTTAGAATTTCCCCCAGTGTTGGATCTATAAAAACTAAAGATTAAACCAGGCAGTGACAAAGTTGGTAATAAATGTCAAATATAGTCATCTTCATGAGAAGGTTTAGAGTCAGTGCTTCAATGTAAACAGTGAACCTGCTCAGAACCCCTATGTTGTAAAAATAATGGCTACTGTGGGAATAGTAACTATAAACAGCACTCTAAAGTTATATTCTCAAAACATAACAAAAAAAAAAAAAAAAAAAAACAGAAGAAAAGGAAAGTTAACATTTACGGGCAACCTCTCTAAGCTGGGCATTGTGCCATGTACTTACTCTTCTTTTCTTAGTCCTCACAGAAATACTCTAAAAGAGAAATTACCATTGCCCAGGATTTGGGGTAAAAAAAGAACTTTTCCTAAAGTCACACAGGGATATACTGGCCAAGCACAGGTCTAAATCCTTACCTAATTCCATGATGCCATCCACTGTCCTTGTGTGTACACGGGTTATGTATTAGAAGCTGTTTTTAAATTACAGACTGACTACTGCACAGATAGATTCATGTAAAGTACAAAAAAGGAGAACAGAGAGAGTCTAGGGCAAATAGTTAGGTTACAGACTTTAGGAACCACAAAAAGGAACAAAGGGAGGAAGAGAGGGAGGGAAGAAAAGAAGAGGAAAAATAAAAATTGTCCTAATGGAGTCTAAATATATGATTGCTTATTGTAAGAGTATACTAAACATTCTTCTTATTTACAAAAGTGAATAGAAAAAATTCCATCACCGAAACACAGGTAGATGCAGACGCAGACACACAGACACACACAGATACACACACACACACACACACAGATTTCATTCTAATAAAAGATTTTTCAAAAGACAAAAATAGGAATCTACAGGAATGTTATCAGAACAAATATGTAGGGAAAACAAGAGGATGCCTTCCCCAAAGCATCATGAGTACATTAAGAGAAAGAACCAACTGTTACCAATAAATCGTGAATCCTGACAGAGAAAAACAGATTATCATGCAATACTGCCAATTTTGTTGTTGTTGTTGTTCATATGTTCTACATATCCTCAGTTCTAGAGTCTCTCTGCTTGGGGAACATATAAATCTTCATTAGTTAAATAGTTTAATGAAATACATGAGAATTGAATATTCAAACAGTTCTCATTAGCTATTAAAAAATTAAACGTGTATGAAGGTAGTGGAAATAAATCACACATTTAGGAATTACTAGATGGATGATAGGTGTGCTACTCCTCATTTTTGGTTCAGAAGAGCATAGAAAGCATATTCATTCAAGTTACAGAAGACTAAAAATTCTGTTGCATACTATTAACTTCCTTGAGAACCTGATAATCACACCACTTTTAGAAGAGACACTGCTTATAGGAATGGGCTGTGTGAGGAATATACCACTGACCATGCACCTTTTTGTTTGTTTCTGCAAAGGGCTGCACATGTTTAGGATGACATGTAAGTCAACCTGCTACTAAGCAAACACCTGCATCATATGCTACTCACTACCCTGCAGTCCTGGCTCTCTTTGAGGGCCTAAAGTGATGGCTGTAATGTATACAACCTGATCAAAGAAGGGAAAGAACATATCCTTTCTACTGAATCATCCCAGATTCCCATTTTTTCACCTGCATAGATTGAAAATTCAGATAGAATAACTAAAGTAGCTGAACATATCAATAATATTTCCATTGATTAACAACAAAAATGATAATTTCTAGCCACAAAGTAAATCAGAAAAGAATTTTATATAGGTTTTTATATGACTGTCATATCAAACCAAATATCTCTTTAAAATCTGAATTTCCCATGTTAACTAAGCTACAAAAGGAAGTGCTACATATAATCTGGATTTGGTCCTTGGTCATCAGGATGACTCCAGTGATAAAACTCAAGAATAATTTGTGGCTATGAATTCCTTAGTATAAGATTAAAGCAAAAATATAGGACAAGGTGAAACACTTACTATAATTCCTAATGAGTATAAAAGAAGATAGAAGAAATAAGGAAAATGATGTAATTGAAGTAGACTAACTTTAAAATGAAACTTCATGTTTAAAATTTATTAAAATATTTCAATGCATTAATGTCTGATATCAATGTATTAACTATATTGATCAGAAAACAAAGAACCAATTCAGAGCTAAAAGAAGCCTAGTGATTGCTTTCTGTAGTGTTCTTTTTTCTCTACTGCTTCTTTATCCTGTACACTTCATGCTATTGGAGATAGATATGTCAGGTTTAAAAAGGGCAAAATTCAGGGAGTAAATGTCAACTTCCAAAACACAAATAGAGCCATGCTTAAAACAGACACACTGAAAGTACTTAAGGGATCCATTAAAAGAGGAAATAAAATAGTTTACAAATCCTTGAACAGGTAGGTGCTCAGTAAGCACTTCTTGACTAAATAAATAAAATAAATAGAACATAATAAATCATTTCCCTTTCAAACACACAAACTCTCAAAAACAAGAGCAGTGATAGCATGTATCTTTATGAAATAATTTAGAAGCAAAGGAAAAAATCACCCCTCTAAAATCTTAATTTATTAGTTCTGCATTCCTCATGTATTCTGCCATAGGCATGGAAGACCAGTTTTGAAATACAATAACGTATTGCTTACACAATAACCTTTGCTGGAGATCCACAAGGCTCACGATTGTGTTTACTGCATTACTAAACTGGTCCCTTTAGTAGAACAGTAAGAGATATCAGGGACCTGAGTTAATAAAAGTGCTGGGTTGAGGCAGCATCACAAAGGTTTTCCAAGTTGAGTCTTACTGATCAGAAAACCTACTGATAAAACAAAGTGGGTCTTGGAAAACAATATTACATTAGGACATATGGGGGTGAAAGAAGAATCACAAGAACAATAATTAACATTTGGGATTGAGCAAGAAATGAAAGCGGAGAAAGACAAGAGAGAGGAAGTGAAAAGAAATAAAGACGGAAAGAGAGGAAGGAGGAGATGGAGGAGCAGGTGGGCTGCTCTCAATACTTCCTGTGCATCAACTGCCTTCACTTAAGCGCTTGCCCGTAATGAAAATGGGAGGGAACAAAACTATTTCACAACTGTGGCACACAGATATATTCGTGTCAAATGCCTAGGGAGACACACACATTTTTAAAAGCAGATGGTAGTGTCAAAGTGGGTGATGGATGGAATGACACAGACAATATTGGCTTAAAAAAAGGAACAATCAGCCGTACACCACAGTTATAAAACTCATGCAGAAATCTAGAATTTAATAAAAGCTATGAAATACAGAATACAAAAAGGTGGCTCCTTAATTCAACCTGTTCTATTTGCAGAACCTGAAAGGGATTGCGGGATGTGAGCAGGTCTAGGCAGGGAAGGGGGCAGGGTCAAATGCAGGTCTTCTCACACAAGACAAAGGTTCATTTTCCCGCAGGATCTTTTATTGAGTTCAATGGCTTAAGTTCCATAATTCTTCATATATCAAGTAAGTTAGAAGAAGCCCACTTACTGGATTGTTGAATTAATTTGCAGTGGCTGGAGTGCTTAAAGTTATATGTAACTTGCTTTTCTCTTTTCTTATTTTGATATTCTTCTTTCTCATCTTCCTCAGATTCGGAAGAACTGCTGCTACTATCATAACTGCTGTCACTGCTGTAGTACTTCTGTCTTTTCATTATCTCAGTGCTCTCTGGCATAGAACACAGAGGCTAAAATAGAGAGGAATGTATTATAATATTACAATTTTTTAAAGACTTATTAACATGATCAGTTTCTATTTTTAATTTCTCTTTATGTTGCTGCTTTTCATTGAAGGCTGAAAATATCCCAAAATGTGCTATTTATGCTTTTCATTTTGGTAAGAAGAACCAGAGGACCATAACACCTCAGTTCACACACACTTCTGTTTGTGAATAACTCAGTTCACAAAAGCACTCAGCAAAATCCGCTTCCATCTGCAAACTCTGCACTGGGTGACAAACTTGACTATCTTCCCCAAATCCATAAAACAAATTGAGTTCATAAACCGAAGTATCACTGTATCCATGAACAATAACGAAATGGAAAGAAATATTTGAAAAGAAGTATTAAAACTATAATCAGCTTTCCTGTTTACAGATAAATTACTCATAAGACTCAAGAGATATACTCTGTTCCATTAATTTTGAGTCACTCAACAGATGGGTGCTGACAGGAGGAGGAGGAAGGACAAAAAGAAGGAAACAGCAGCTCGAGAAGCCACAAGAAGTTCACATCTTAAAACACAGCCTCAGAGCCCATCCACTCAGATAAAATGCAACAAAAAAGGTTTCCTGACATGTCTAATTTCGTATAAATGTTTGTTTTGCGTGCTGCGTGTTAAAACCAGGGCTTGGTGCATGCTAAGTAGTCTACCACTAAGCTACTCCTAGTCCTTGCACTGGATAGTTATAAAAATAAAAATTTTAATTATCCACTTTCCAAACTGGTCACAAACAACTCACATCTCTTCACAGAGGATTCCTAAATTTGATACACTGACTCTGGCCATAATGGAGTAACACTGCTTTTCTTTGCCAACATTTTGGCAAAGAATAATGTGAAAATCTATCAGTGTGGCATAAATTTTTTAGAGCATAGGCAACATGTAGAAGGGTAAATCTGTAAAAGTTAAAAAACATCATGCTGTTATGTTTCACTGCTTCTATTCCAATCCTCTCAATCTATGCTTGCATGGATGCCAGCTGAAGAAATAAAAGAGAAAGGATGTGAGACAATCTCAGTTCAGAAAGGAAGTGCATCACCAAGAACAAGGCAGTTTTGTAATGCAGGCATTTCAAGAAACTATTTGTTACACACACCATATGCCTCCTATTCCTGCGGGGAGAGGTTTCTACAGTTGTGTACTAGCAGCTTGTTCTCTGTTCAATCAAACAAAAATGTTTTGATGTTAGCATACACCATAATGAAATCCTTATATACCATGGGATTTCACTGAAAGAAGGTATATTCTCCAGTGTAACAGTGTAGGATGAAAGATACAGAGAAAAGTAGTTTTTAGTGAAGTGCCTGGAATACATAGCAAGCCAAAACACAATCATTTTAAAGATGCAGCCTTTGCAAAGGATGAAATATAACCAGAGCAGGAAAGAAATTTAATACACTAAGGTACCAACTTGTGTTTAAACATATGTTCTCCTTTGATGGTCTAGTATTTACTGAGCACTAACAATGTTCAAAAAGAAATGCACAAAAACGTTTACCAGTAACACAATCATCAAACATTCTGACAGGCTTGGGGAATAGAACTCTGGAGGGAGCATGTTTCTTCGGCAGTTTAACACACCCAGAAGAAACAGTGGCACAATCAGGCTCACTAGCAGCGCTTTCCTTCCTGTGGCAAACAGTTTTAAGGTTTCTTAAGGAGCTTGACTACATAATGAGTTATTTGACCCGACAAGAATCACAAGGGACACAGATAACTGAACCTTTCTGTCATAAGGATTTAGGACTTTCTGACCAATACACTGCTCAAGCAGTATTAGATGTTCCACTGGCATGAACTCTAAACAGTGCATGAACTATCAAATGGAATATGGAACCTGGCCGAGAGTTAGGACACAAAGCATACAACTTATTTTATATCCAACTTTATTATGAAATAGATAAAATATATAACTAATAATAAAAGAAATATCCAGGTACCTACTATCCTGCCTAAGAAAAAGAATATTGCTAATCTTTATGTAGCATTTATTATTTATGTAACTCATTAATATTTCTTCGATTCTCGGATGACTGAAAAGCTATTATTTCTCCTAGGACAAATACAAGTTGTATGTAATTCTCACTATCTCCAATTATTCTTCTACTGATAGGGAAATTGGATAGCAAGACTTGGCATCCCTCCTAAAAGGAAGGTATTCTGACATCTGGCTAACATTAGACCCTTCATAAACATCAAGTTAAAAGCTATAAAAATTCTACTTCATTTATGCAGTTTTCAGCCACTCGGAAATACTGCTGACCTTAATGTTTACAGACACTGTCCAATTCACGTGTGATTTGAAGTGACTTCACTTCAACATAAAATTCTTAACTTCCACTACTTTCCTAGGATAAGATTTTAAAAATGTAATGTGGATTTTGCCCCTCAAAAGGTTATACTTTTGTTCTAATGACAAGTCCTATATACATAAAGGAAAAGACAAGGTAATATAAGAGTATCTTGGGCTTTCGTATTTGCCTCTCTATCATGAACATTGTACCCAGCAGGTGATCTCACGTTCAGTTAGCTTAACTGCAGTAACTGACATGCAAAGCTTACAAAGTCCTGAATATTTTCCAAATGAAGCCATGACAGTGAAGGTATTCACTTTTATAAGTACTCTGTATTTCTTCCAAAGGAATTATCAACTATATATTCCACTGTGCCTCAATACAGAGTACATAATTCAGAATAGTGTCTGACACACAAAGTCTCCACAGACCCATAATTATGTATCTGTGACCATCGTGTACCATTTCACCCTCCAAATCTCTCCCTTGTGTCATACCAAACTTTTCATGTTTCTGTAACACCCTGTGCAGTACAACAGCCCCATACTTTGCCTTTAAAAACTGTTTGCTCTATCCTGAATTCCCTTCCACTTCTCTTAAATGTGCAGAGGACAACTCACTTTTCAATATCCAGTTCAAATGGCAATGTCTTTGTAAAGTCATCCACATTCTATTGATTTCTTCTCTATGTTGCTGTAGCACTTTACACTTTTTTATTATAGAATTTTTCACATGATTTACTGATTTGAGGGTAACCAATCTGTTCTTCCACTAGCTAATGAGGTCCTCATGGACACATTCAACAAATTTTACTAATGGATTTTCGGAATTTATGACGTGCCAGACATCATGATATGTACTAGAGATGCAGAGATAAAGATCCACTTCATACCTTCAAGGAGCTTATCATCTCATACTGAAGCAAACGTGAACAAGTATTTGTCATAACTGCTCTATAAAAGTGTTATTTATAGTACAGCAGGAGAAGGGAATCTAACCCTAAGTGGAAGAGCAAGGGAAGGATTCACAAAGGCAGCAACAATACAGCTAGATTAGTATGGGGGTTTCTGCTCAACCCAGCAACAAATCAGTGATTGGTTTTCGTGCACAGACATTGCCGAGGCAGAGAAAAGCGTGAGAACACTACACAGCATGACTGTCAGGATGCAGAGGGAGCTCAGTCAGTAATGCTGAAATGTAAAGTAAAAGGAACAAAAGGAAATCAAGTTTCTAAGATTTTTCAAATTTAACTCTTTCCTTTGGTATTAGCAAGGACTTTGATATACATCAGAAGAATACATGGATGTCACTACCACAGAGCAGATGCAAGGAAAACAAACACTTGTTACTTTTCGCCTACATGGCAGCTAGGAAAGGGACCTATTTTTACTACCACCCTATCAGTGTTGCTATGTTAGCCAAAGATGGGCCTCCCCACCTTGAGATGATTTACCTTACATCTAATGCTACATGTGTCTTTGATAATTACGTCTAGTTAGGCATAAGGAAAATTTAACGAGTTTAGAACAGGAGTATTACCACAGGTGTAGGTCACTCTCACTCACACAGATTTCTACAGCACTAGGGAGAGAACCAAAAAATGAAAAGAAACTAACAAAACTTCTATTGGGTATAAAAATAACATTACCTTTCCCATTCTACCTGCACTAGTGACTTAGTCCCTACAGTTCCTTAAAAGCACCACTAGTCTTATAATGAGAGCTATCCAAGAAGAAAATCAACTGTACTCAGTAGCATCTATTTAGATACTAAAAAAGATAGAGATTTAGCACCTTAGGTCCTCGGTGCTTGGTAGTTTTTCCCATCAACTTTTCATCATCAATTTCACATTGTTCCAGAAGATCCAAAATATCTTCCTCCTGTGAAAAATGAATTTATAAAATTATAATCACTAACAGACTCTAGAATGTAAGTTCATTCGTCTCCATAAAATAATGCACAAGCACTCCTGAAATTATTCAGTAAAGATTTGTCAGATCAAAAGTAAAATAAAGCTTCATGGCAAGCTGTCGTGAAGAAACATTCACTAAAATCTGCCAGTACAAATAATGCATAGATGAATTTGTCATACATTATCACAGTATACTATTAAAATTTTAGAATATAGTACTTCAATAAATTGCACATTGCACACTAAAAGTTTTGGAAGTTCACTCTAATTCTCCAGACTACCATTTCATTAACCATTTCTTATACCGATTATCATAAAATAACATTAAAACTCTAGACAGAAAACTGAAGACTGCCTAAAAGAAATATGTAGCCTATTGGTGGGACATAACTGTATCACAATAAAAAATATAAATAAAAGAAAGTTTAGTTGCTTATACATGTTAACTCTATTAAAGATTTTATATGCAGCCCAAGGCAATTCCTCTTCACTCAATGGGGCTAGGCAAGCCAGGGTACTCAACCCTTGAGCCTGAGTCAGACACACTTGGCAAAGCAACGTTATTTGGAAGCAAACTAATTGTAGTGTTTGGTTAATGAATACCATTTAATGAAATGTTTTAGAAAATTTAACTACTGCAAGGATATTTTTACAGCTTTATGAAAGGTTTTCATTCTACAGCCATAATAGTGTAAATGCCCTAGCAACCTTCTCTTATATTCTTCTAGAGTCATTTTGAAGTCAACCAGAAAAATTATAAAAGCATAAACTGCAGTGGATGTTGAAGAAACCAGAGTAATAGTTATACTGAAAAAAGTATAATCAATTGCTTCATTGTGATCTGTACTCAACCTATATATAAAAATATCAAAAGTATGTATTTATGATTTATACCTCAATGTTCCATTTAAAAATTTTTTAGAAAGAAACTAGAAATCTCACTGTAGAGCACTACTTATGAAAAAAGTTAATCTTCATCCAAATCTAAGGGAAGTTAGCTGCTAAAATATCAGAAGACCTCTGTTATTTGATTAAAGACTAATCCTACAATGAATTCCATGGATAATAACAAGAGATAGCTAAAAATAATCTCAAAAGTTCTGCTTCTGTTTATAAGAATGATCACAACAGACAATACTGTATTTTCATTCTAAGAACTATAAAAAGCCAGATAAACTAAACAATCATGTTTTTTAAAAAATCAGAACACTATAAAAAGGTAGTATAAAGGAATTAAATTCCAGAGAAGGATAAGTTCTTTCTAAGTGGACAGAGATGAGTGACCACTTTCTGGTCTAGGATCTTTGGTCAAGTCTGGATATACATGGGTAGCAAATAAATCTATCATAGGCCCAGAAATTCTGCTGGCAGGAAGAGAATCCTCTTGAAATGCTCCCTTTTGAAACCCTGGGATACTACCAGGTATACCAGCTGTCTCTTCTGACAAACCAGATGTGGGATTCTAGCCCCAGATGAGTACAAGAAATTCTTCTTTCAGATAAATTAAAGTACACTGTTCACTATAGACAAGATCAGCAAAAGAACAGTTCCTAGCCAAGACTACAGAAGAATGAGCAAACAAAGTGGTTTCTTTTGTTGCAATAGATAACTAACAGACCCTTCATTAGGATTAATGAGAGAGGGCAGGAAGAGAGAGAGGCAGAAAGGCAGAGAGGCAGGGGGTGGGGGAGGAAGAGAGGGAAAGGGGGAAGAGGGGGAGAGAGAGAACTTAAGTGTGCATTTTTATGACTCTTATATGCCAGATCTATGTAGTACCAAGGAAAACAGTTCATAATGTTAGTTATAATCCAAAGGAGAGTATCACAAGCTACAACGTTAACTCAATGACTTTCTTCACCTAGTTATATATATATATATGTGTATCTATGTGATAAAACATGTTATTATAATATAATCATATTATGACAGGACCCCAAAATTCTCTACTCCAAAATTTGTTCTGTTAGAGATCTTAATTATGAAGTCACTGATTTTTATGAAATGTTACCAAATGTTAAAATTAAAAGAGTGAAGTGCATCATAAAAATAAAAGTATACATGTAGATATAAGGGTGACTGTTGTCAAAGACAAATTGTTTGGGTTCATTCTTCTTTTCTGTGTAAGTATTCACTTTCTCACCTTCATCCTTTTCAAAGGATTATTCAGCTCTCGCTGGAATGAAGCTGCTCTGCCTGAAAGAAAGGTCTGAAAGGCAACAGCCAGCAAGTTCTCATACTTTTCAAGTAGTGCTTTATCGTCAGGAGGATAAATTCTTCTACAATAAAATCAGATAGACAAATTTGTTTAAAAAAGAAAGAGAAGCTATTACAGCTCAGTTGTTAAGGCAGCTGCTTCAATAACCATTTCCCTCTTTCTCTGTGATAATTCTTTTACTAGGAACTAGAAATAAACATGAACAATTATACAAAATTCAAAAATTTTTATGAGGTACCTATACAAATTAAAGTCTGTCTACAGAAGTACCATTAAGGAATGCAGTTTCAGAAGATACATTATAAGGATTTAGCTGACAGAAAGGGGTGGGAAAAAACAGCAATTGGGCAAATTGGTGTGAAAAAGAACTCTATGGGAGAGAGTTCAGTTGCTAGGGGACAATGTGGAAGTTCTGACTCACTGCAGTTACTAAATTGTACAAGAATATAGTATTAGTTATGATCATCTATTGTAGGGTGACACAGTGAGAAAGGGGTAGGGGAAGAGTAAGAGGGATGTGTTTCTCTCACTGCTACGGCGGTGTTATGGCCAGGAAAAAACGTCTTACCAGGATAAGGAACGCTACGCCCATGGCCACCCTCACGCTTCCCTAATCTTGCTGAGGCAATGTCAAAGCCTGGGAGGAAGGCAATATTTTCTAAAAGATAAGGAACTTACAGGGTCCACCTTTGATAATGTGAGGGGTTCCAAGTCCACACAGTTCATACCCCTGTCTACTGTCTCTACACCTGGCTCCTTCAAATATTTTCTCACTTTGCCTGGTTCGCAAGCATTTGGGTTTACAGCACAGTACAGCAACCACTATGAATTGGCAAAAAAATACCAGAATACCTAAATTTCTGCTTTTTTAAAATATCATGTACTAATCGAATATAATCACAGAAAAGCATGTGGTTATAAAGACTTCCAGCAGGCACTCCAAGGCTAGCTAGCAGGAGGGCTCAAGTCAAAACCATTTGCTGATGACCTTTTCTATCTTGAAAAATACAAAGCAAAAACCACATTTGCACAAAGAGAGAACAATTCTCTTTAGCCTAAAAGGCTAAAGAATGACTGACCTGTTCCTTCACTCCTTCAATCTACACAAAAATGGTAGCATAGTTACCTGTAATTCCCCATATGTCGGTTTTCGTGTTCTTCTCGTGAAATCTGCTTTCGTACTTGAGCGAGTCTCTCTTTCTAGAAAGGAGGAAATTTTACAAATAAAACCTGATAAATGCGTCATTCTATACAAATTATAGATACTCTGTTAAAATGCTCATACTGGCCAGAGGATGGAGCTCAAGAGAAAAGTGCTTCTCTAGAATGCACAAGGCCCCAGGTTCAAGCCCTAGCACCACAGAATAAACAAAGTAAAATATCCATACCAACTCTTCTTTCCTCCTCTCCAACTGGTGCCTCTGCTGTTCCCAGTCTGATGAGCCTGGTAAGAGCCTCTTTATTGAATTTTGACCATAAAGCCTCCTTTGAGCCTCCGCTTTTTGCTTGGCCAAGTTTCTCCTCTTATCACTGGTCCTAAAATATGAAAAGCAAGATTATATTCTAGAATTTTAACAAGTTCAAATCTTATTCCTGTAAAAGAGAATTTGAAGAAGGAGAGACAGTGCACAAAGGTATCAAGATTATTAAACCTACAGACTCACATATATTTTATGCATCTAATTATCCATCAAACATGGGACGGCATACAATAAGTCGAATTTCTAGAGATAAGATAAAATGGAAGCAAAATATATCTTGAAGCATCAGAGAAACCAACTATCATATTCTAGCCTAGCAACTTAGATGGTCTACAATCTTGGACTGATCCATTAGCTGCCACATTTCTCTGCCCATCTATGAAATGTTAACAATAATAATGTTTCCCTCTACATTTCTATGAAGATTAGTTTGTATAAACATTAACAATGATATCCTCTTCTCTGTTAGCCAATTCCATTTATACTAAGCACCCTCACTTGCACTGACAGGTCTTCAGTACATTTTCAGTTATCACTGAAATCCCAGTGTAACAGTCATCTTTCGTTTGCAAAAAAATCTATACAGCCTTTCTCATTTCCACGCAATCACAAATATCAATTGGTAAACTCCCTGGTTTTTACACAAGCAATTTTGTGATGGGATTATTTTGCTCTGTGCCTCTTTTCTCTCTCTTCTCTCCATATTTGAGGTCTCTTCTCTACAACTCCTCCAACTTGCATTCTTACATATCACCCTTTTAAAACCTATTACAAACAGGGCATGATCTAGGAGAAAAGGAAAACAGCCAATTCTGCCCTCATTCTTAGGTTTAAAAAACAAAAAACAAAAAACAGAGTTCTTATCCTTGAGCTTAGATTTCCATGCTTTCTGTTGTCATGAGACTAGTAGGACCCAGTATGGATGTAAAGCAAAGAGAAGCTGATGTAAGGCCGGGCATGGTGGCACACGCCTGTAATCCCAGCACTTGGGAGGCTGAGGCAGGAGGATCATTGCGAGTTCAAAACCAGCCTGGGCTACAAAGTGAGCTCAAGGCCAGCCTGAACTGCACAGTGAGATCCTGTCTCAAAAAGAAAAAAAAAAAAGAGAGAGAAAGAGAAGCTGACAAGAAGGTTATATGACGGCTTCTACTGTACTGCTTGGACTTATATGCATGGGTCCCATTCATCAGAAGACTGCACTGAAAACAGGAGGCTAAGACCAGACAGAAGAGAGTATTTTTCTGCCACAAACATGTGCCACCTTTACAACTCCAGCCAGTAGGTGAGTGATAGGGAACTGACTCGTTCTCTTTTATGACAATGTGGCTTCAGCGGCAGGGGTTCAAGAGGTAACCAGAATAAAAGGAAAAATTTGAGAAAATGAACACATCCAAAAAATCAGAAGTCAGCGTGGCTAGAGCTCTGGGTGAATGTAAGAAACTTAGCTAATTATAAGGGCTTACTACTAGGATACTGAGTTTCAAATTTAACTTCAGGCAATGAAAAGGAGCATGAATTTTAAAGAGGGAAGGACCTAACTATATTTGCATGTGTGAAAGATTATGCCTTTGGCAGTGTGTGCAAGGTATAGTGGCTCAGAAAATAAAGAAATAGTGGATGAGAAAATAGGAAAGTTAGGGTGAGATGCCATTTCATTAACAAATATGCAATACGAGGGCCTGGACCAGTGAAGCAACCATGAGACTGGAGAGAAGATGTAATTGTAGTGTATTTTGGAGGAAGAACAGATGCTTGGGTGACAAATTAAAATAAAAAGGATGATTTTGTCATAGTAGCAAGACTCCTGCTTCAGTGACTGGGTGACTGTACCATTTTTCCCAATGAACATAATGCGGCTCTCAGTTTCTTCAGCGAACAAAACAGCACATCATGGGTTAGGGCGCTTCTAATGTTTTACATTTTTATACTCATTTCATCCAGGACGGTTATTTCTACACAACATTCAGCGTAAAGGTAGGCGAGAGAAGGAAAGATAAAAAAGTGCAGAAAATTAGAACAACACAGAGGAACAATGGCCAAACGATAAAAGAGAAAGGAAGTAAAAGCAAGAGAATAAAAGAAAAAGGACAGATACAAATGGACTGAAAAGCTTTGGTCAGATCTCTGTGCAAAGGGGTACTTAGAGAGGGGGACTGAAATAACCCTGCACAGAAGTTTCCTCATACATTTTGAAATGAAGAAAAGCCAAACACAGAGACTTTTCTTTTTATGATATTGTCTTTTATTAGAAAGTAAGTTAAAAGGCAGTACGATTACTTCTGTAATTCACAATCAGAACCATACCACTGTAAACCTACATGTAAGGCTACAAATGTAAGCCTTAAAGCAAAACTTGTAATTACGATAATGATATTTTACCCAGAATATTCTATTCATATGCTGGCCTCACTGCAAAAATTGTGTCTGTACTTCAATAAATGCAGGCATAAATTAACGCTAATGACTTTTAGTACTTACTTCACACACTAGAATAAAATTTAACCACAGACCAAAAGACCCCACTTACGTGTTTTAATCAGCTTCTACTCAACTGCATTCATATACTGCCCTAAGCAGTTTTGTTTGCCACTTTCAATAACTTCCCAGTGCTCATTACACTGGGATTTTATCTGAGGGACTCCAGGCTACTCCAACTACTTGCCTCATATATTCTATGTCCAGTCATGAAGCCCTGGAAGGTCTATGAATGTGTCTGACTTCCGATTACTTTTTCTACAAAAGTTACCTTGAATGAAATGCCCTCTCTTACCCTTGCCTTCCAACAACATTTTATTTAGTCTTTGGTATATGCTGTTCCAGATATGGCTCAAGAGAAAAAAGACAGAGGCATTACCCTCAAGGATCTGATGACTAAACAGGTGGGGCTGGCATGCAAATACTTAGGGCACAGAAAGTGTTATTTACGATGTCATGGAAATAACAGTCATAGAACAAAGAAGTAAGCCACATTACTTTATAAAGTCAGACTTCAGCTCAGTTTTAAAAATGAGTTGATATAAACAGTGTTGTGTTACAGTTTGGGCATGGTCTGTCTCCTAAAGAAAGGTTCATGTGCTGGAAATTTGGTCCCCCATGTGAAAATGTTGATAAGTGGCAGGGTCTTTAAGAGGCAGAATCTACTAGGGTGTTTAGGCACAGCTCTCATGAGGGGACTCATCTCTCTCCAGAGACTGGGTTAGCCCTCTCAGGACTGGGTTAGGACTCTCAGGAGTAAGCTGGGTCTTATGGGACTGAGTTAGCTAATATGAGCGTCCCCTCTCCTCATCTCCCTGTCACACAGGCACTCTTCCACAGGCACCCACTTTCTTAGTCCTCTTCCACCTTGAACTAATGCAGCATGAAGGCCTCATAAGAAGCTAAGTAGACCTAGTGCCAGGCTCTTGAATCTCTTGAACTGCGCACTAAATTCTTTATCAATTTCAGTCTTTGGTATTTTGTACTACTTCAGAAAACAAAGACAGCGTATAATTGAATGTTATTCATCCTTTAAAAAAGAAATTCTGACAGAAGATACAACATGGATGAACTTGAAAATAATATGCTAAATGAAGTAAGCCAAAAACAAAGGGACAAATAATATGATTCAAAGCTTATAAAAGCTATTGTGATGGATGACAGAGACTGGAAGATGGGAGGAATGAGGAGTCGGTATTATGGGTACAGAGACTGAATTCTGCCAACTGGAAAGGGTTCACACAATGGATAGTGGTGACAGCTGCATAACAACATGCATGTATTCAATTCCACTCAGTTTCATACTTATAAATGGTTACAGTGGTAAAGTTCATGGTAAACATATTTTACCACAACTAAAAATAATGAATGTGACATTCACCAGAGGGACAAAGGTGAGTGAATATTTAAATGAGATCAAATGCAAAGACATATAAATGAGAAACAGCACCACAAAAGAGTTTTTATTAAAAAATCAATTCCACGGTAGAGGGAAAAAAGACCAAGAAGTGAGTAGGTTGGAGAGAGGTGCCTGGGCCAGATTAAAAAGTGTCTTAAATATAATCAAAAGATCAAAAAGTGCTTTGCACATAATATAAAGGAGTTTACACTTCATGTAATAGTGTAGAGACTATCTAATCAGAATACCAGAGTTTATACATGTTGCTTCAAATGCTGGCATCCCTAAGGGTTCTGTTCCTCCCCTCTTTACTTCTTAAAATATACACAACAAATCTGTGATCTTCACCATTAGGCTCAAGTGTGATCAATACGTGGATAGCAATCAAATAAGCATCTCTAGCTCCTGGGGCCCTACGTACAAAATTTTCCATTTAACAGTTCTGCCTGCGTGTCTCAAAGCATCTCAATTAGCATGCTAAAAACGGAATTCTCTCTTGCTGTCTACCTTCACTCATCATTCCTCTCAGCCTGCAACTTCCTATAATCTTTATCTGAATGAATACCATTTTATCAAACAACACACCCAAGCCAAAACCCTAGGAATCATGAGAGGCTTGGAATTCCCAGGACTTAATACAGTGGCAGTGGACCCTCAATTCTCAATAAAGAGCTGCTGAGAGATTTGCAAAGCAACAGAGAGGAAGCTGCAAAACAGCGTGGAGGTTAGCAAACAGAAAGAAAATCAAGAAAATAAGTGAGGAGACACAAAAAAAGATCTTAAACTTGAAGACAAGAATAAATTAAGTAATAGTCACAACTTTGACAGAATTCAGATGATTTTTTTATAATAAAAAAGAAAATGGAATTCAAGACCATGTCCAGTTTCCTATCCTGGACTTTCATGTGGGTAGTTTTGCCATTAACTAGAAAAGTAAAAAAGATGGAAAGCTAGATTTGGGGGATATCATTGCCTTTAATAGTTAAGATACTTAAGGAAAGGAAGTGACATTTATTTTTTGTATTTTCAGCTTCTAAAACAGTATAAGCTCTCTTTAGAAGTCCAGTAACAAATGAATTAGATTTACCTGTGGTTGGTTTGGAGGTGTGTGGTTACCATTAGCAGAAAAAAGGAGATGAACCCAGAAAGAATATGTTTGAAGAGGAAAATAATTCAACCTTGACTGCATTATATTTAAGTGTCATTGAACATGCACCCCTTTGTTTATTTACTTACTTGTTCGCTCACTCACTACTTGTTTTCTGAGCACCTACCAGGCCAGAGACATCCAGTGGGCATGGTGAGACAAATGCAGAAGGTCTGCAAATGCAGAAGCAGAGCTTCAGAGCAGGTCAGAGCTGGCCAGAGGCACCCCGGTCTATACCTCACCCTAAACATGTGCAGATGGGAGCTCCAGGTTCAGACTCACAAATGATGCCACAAAAGTGAATGAAATTGATATGCAAGAAAAGAGACCTGAGCCAGGACACAGTGAAAAAAAAAATGACCAAAGGAGAACAAGAACTAAGAGAAGCCATATAAGGAAACAGAAGAACACCCAAAGCTAAGTGAACTGAGAGGCTCGTGTGAAAGGTCTAGAAGGAATAAATCTTTAAGGTCAGAGTAGTATTAAATGCTGCAAACCAGCAGTCCATAATCTAGTTTCAAAAAAGGGACAAAATATTTAATCTAACTAAGAAATATTTCAGGCCAAAGACTCATGTAGCTGTGAATATCTCTTCTAGATTTTATTTTAATGGCTATAATGGAATACTTACGGAGTAAAAACTCTTCAATTATCAAACACCAACACAACACGCCTACATTTTTCTTTTAAACAGAGAGAACTATTACTTGGTTGATGTACAGACCCTTTTGCACTCTGCTGTCTCTGAACAAACCCAATGCTTCAAAAAATATTATCTGAATCTGAACTCAAATTATATTCACCCAAAGTACAAAGGGATCAACTGAATTCTTCCTCAAAAATATACTGATAGAATAATCTAAAAATAATTTAACAGTTCTTGTACCAAAATAAAATCTCTAGTTTTCTTTCCCTCATCAAATTCTTAAGTTTATTTGTGTTTTGAAGTCTGTAATCTTTTGATAATTCTATTAAAAATACAAGGAAAGAAAGATAACCAAAAAAAAAAAAATAATTCCAATAGTCTGGTTAAAATGAACATTCATAGGGGATTTCTATATTCACAGAGTAACTGTCCAATATTATAATAATCTATATGAAAATTAACCCCATAATATTTACTACAGGCAGGAATATCGCCAATGTTCTGCGTAAGTTGCTGTAATGTGTGCAGCACAGACCCGGGCACAGAGAAACTCAAATGTAGCACATGTGCGCGCAAAGCCCTCAATCAGAGGGCAGAAAAAGGCAGTCCTCAAAGTAAGCCTCATCCACACATGCTCTAAATGTTACAGATTGTGCACAATCCTCAGTGCAACACGAAGACAAGGAAGATGAATCCAGCTTTCCCCTTGTCTCACATCTAGCAATTTCTTACTCTTTTAACTGTACATACTTCACCTTTAAAACATCCACAGATAATTTCCGAATTGTCAGCTTCATTGGTGAAGCCAAAAGACATGCCAGGAAAAATTTTTAAAAAGACTAAGCATAGGCTTAGCAAAAATAGTAATGCCAAAATTTTCATGCCAAAATATTGTATAAGTACACTGCTTAAATAATCTAAAATACTAAACACATGAGTATACACTAAACAGGAAAAAAATCCCACTCCACATCTCCTTCCTTTCTATTCATGTCCTTTTGCTAATTTATAGCATTTATTTTAGAATAACTGAAATTCAAATGGAATTTAGATAAGTAGATCTCTCAACAGGCAAAAAAGAAGTCATATGAAACAGGTTTCTATGTTCAACTCTTTTTATAAAGCATGCTTCTTCACACAAAGCTACTTCTCAATCAGCTATATGTTTAGAAACATCTTTAAAAATTGCTAGGAAGCATCCCATAACCCTGCCAGAGTTTTTGAGTGACAATTAGAATTAATGGAAATCATAAACTCTCAACCTAACTGGCATCAGAGGTCCTGTAATCTGACATTTTTGTTCTGTCTGAACACTTACAATGACAGACAGTTCACTATTCATGAAGAGTTTAGTCAAACTTCTAATCATTTTCTTTAGTAATGTGTCAAAATTCTTCCCTCACATAACAGTATTTCAAATGCTTAAACCCTATGAGCATGTACAACACAACCAGCCTACTACCACACCAATTAAGTCTTCTCTAAATTGTACTTCACTCTCTTCTACACTTTTCTATGATAAAGCTCACTCTCCCTGTGAACAACTGCATCTCTATTTTGCTTAGTGAGAAGATTCATGAATAGAAAAGCAGGAAATTCTTGTGTGAGATTTTATTTCCTTTCTATGCTTTAGTTTTTTCATGTAAAACAATCAAGATAAGCTACAGGATCTTCTACGATACTGCATAATTCAACCTCCTATGCTATAGTAAATACTTATACCTCCACAGGAATCCAGCCCCATTTACTGCAGGCAAAGAGTATTACATAGGTAGCAGAAATGCAGTGTACAAAACAGGAAGATTTTTTGAACCCATCTAGCTCTAAAGAATGGAATAAAGAAATTCAAAATATAAAAACACAAAAGATTAAAGCCAATGTCATGTATAAGTGGTTTGTCAGTGTCAAATGTTAAAAAGAGATGGAAAAGCTGGAGGTCATACTTTACCTGATGTTTAGGAGTTTCAGCGCATTCAGCAGCACCCCCCGCTTGACATCGTAGTCTATTTTCTGATCAGTTCCAAAGCTTGGGGCTCGATTAATCTGAAATTTACACAGAGACAACCAGGGTAGCCAAGTGCTGGAAGGGCAATATCTACTCATTGCACTCTTTTCAATCTAATGGGATCTCCAGTCCTTACACGGACTCTACGGGACTGTACGGTGAGTCACACATGGCCCGGTTACCACCGTCACATCTCTGCTGCCAATCACCAGTCCCCCCTGCTCCTTCACGGGAGCACCTTCTGGCATTCTCTCCAGCCCACTACACCCCGGAGATTTCAAGATGAGTAAAGTTGAAAGTGACTCATCTTCACAAAAAGTTGGAAGAAGAATGAAAGTGCTATTCATGTCATCGACACAGTAACAATTACATACATGAACAGACAGCACGTAAAAAGTATCAGTGCCCGGTTTTCACTGTTTCACATCTTCCTATGAATTCATCTCCTTCTGCTTAAAAAATAAATTTTGTTTCCTTCTAGTTGGCTCAAATAATAATTTATCAATTTCCATTTCAAAAAGTATTGACTAACTCAGAAGTTAAGGTGAAAAGCAGTTGCAGGCAAACCTCCAGAAGTTTTTCTAACAGTATAAAGAGTAATGGGAATTAAAAAGCCATTTGTGTCTATCCTACTTTGCGACATCACCTCCAGGAGTTCCTCCAGGTGTAAAACCAGAAGTAACTTTATGTGTCTTGAAATCCATCATACAACCGTCTATCACATCAAGAGCTGGTGTTTCTTTGGTTTTATTAACTGGCATAGCAGGTATTTAAGAAAATTAAATCAGTTGGTTAGGACACTGCTGAGTTCAAAACTACAGGTTTGTTTCTAGAACACCAACTAATCTCCCAGGCTATCTCAATGAAAAATGTCTGCTACTAGTTGTAATTGTACAAATCCATCAACATAAAGACAAAACAACTGATAGCGTGCATTCTATCACTACATGAGGAAATGCCACATTAAACTGAAAAGGCCATCGGGGAATATTGAGTCTCTAGTTACAAATGTGATACAGGCTCACTGTAGAAAAACTATAAATAGCAGGGAAACTAACAACAAAAGATCGTCTGTTAGTGTACAGTTAACCTTTGATATACAGTATTCAGATGTTTTCTATGCATGTATAATAAAAATTCATTTTAGCCTCTAAGTACATCTTAATATGATAAGCACACTTTATTTCATAAGTCAAGCTTTTCTTTTAACAATATATCATGACAATCTTTCGTCATGCCACCATTTTTGTAGATTCACAGTACTCCTTTCATGGAGCTATGTCATACTGAATTTTAATGTCTTTCTGACTTAGCAGATGATGAACATATTCCCATCTTTGTGAAGTGGTCTCAAAAGAAAAGTTTCACTGGAAAAGCACAAGAACACACATGTCTTCTAGGTCAGTTTGAGAAACAAACTAAATCTGTTACCCTAAGCTCTAAGCATCTCCCCTTCCAAATGCAGAAAGGGTAACTAACATATCACATGATAAAAGCTCCATCCACATTTATTTAAGTCCCTGGAATTTGTAACACAATGCTATTTCTGCTGCTGCGTGCAACAAGATTATAAAATAAGCCCAGCACTTAGAGCTGATTCACTGGAATGTTATCTACTTTACAGAATTCTTCAGGTATTCCGTCTAAGTTTACAGCTGGGAATTCCACCAGGTATAACCTCCATCCAGGGTAAGCCTTGGTATAAAACTACTTCGTACCTCTCTTTCTTCTAACCTTTTACAGATTATTCCCTATACTGGAATGTAAAATAGTCTGTGAAGAATACCTGCATATGACAAACTAAATGTGAACAGACAGTAAAACTTCATCAAGTTTTACGAGAAAAATATAAAGAAGTAAAACAGAAACCACAAGTGGCCGACCAAAGAAACTGAAAGACAAGGTTCTACCCAGCAAAATGCCCCTCGAAGTGTCAGTCGTTTCTTCGGTTCTCACTTCCTACCACAACTCTAAAACAGACAAAACCCAGCAGATACTAGAATTTTAAAGTTCAACCATCTTATAAAAAGTGCAAAGTGGAAAATAAATTAATAAACACTGTTACTAATGGTTCAAATCACAGTTTTATTACCAAAACAAAGCCAATCATCTCATGCACGGATCAAGGTACCCGTAACAGTCCCGGCTCCCACGGGACTGTCGTTCCCTCTAACCTGTAGCACTTGCCTGACCTCTCACCTAGTATCTACTAGCTCCCCGGCCTCTATCCTACCATCTTCAGCCTGAAAATCTCAGTTCAATGTTCCTCTGCAAAGACTTAAAAAAAAAACTCTCAAATACACACATTAGCTCAGGGGTATTAATCCCCCTGTTGCTTGTGCTATTTTCTTGTTTCCATGTGCAGACTTCCAACTATTACACACAGCTGAGTCTTCCTTAGGAACATAGCAAGTATTCTGTCCAATTCCTGTATCCCCACCTCTTAGCACAACTCCACCTTAATACACCTTTGTTTAATTTACTTAAAATACCAGCAGTACATGTGTACTCTACAATTTTCCACCCTAAAAAGTGTTTTCTATGCTTCAAATTCTCTTCAGTTTTGCTACTGCCAATCAGTATCTGAAATTATTACAGTTAGCTAAAAGTCGGCACTTTCTCAGAAGTACCTTCTACTTTACTCCACTTGGTGGCGCCAAAAGGCTTTTAACAATATACTATATCAGATTACAATTTCAGTGGAGAACAGCAATACACAAAGCAAGATCTAAAAAGGTCAACTATTTTAAAAGGCTAAATGGCCATTATACACAGGTTTAGATTACTGTGGAGTTTTTAATGGCTCTGACTTATCTGGAAACAATGGAGGGGATAAAGAATGAAGAAGCATGGTATTCTGAGCCTCTAACAAATATACAGAATTCAGTCAACTATGTTTAGCAAACTAATGAAAAACTTCAGGGAGCCTTTTTTTTTTTTTTTTTTTTTTTTGGTTTTTTTTTTTTGGTTTTTCTCTGGTACCAGGAACCGAACTCACGACCTTGCGCTTGCCAGGCAGGCGCTTTGCCGCTGAGCTAAATCCCCAGCCCCAGGGAGCCTTTTTTTAAAAGGTAACAAAAATATTTATAAAGTCATTATTCTCTGCAGTCCTTTCAGTTTTTCCTCCTGCACATACCTTCACCACTTCTCCACCCATCAGGAATTTAAAAAATAAGTAGCAGAGGCAGAAAAAACAGAGCTAAGCAAAACAGAAAGGGCCACTGTAGACAAAGCAGTAAATCTAAGGAAGAATACGTCAGACCTTAGTCAGATGAACAGCCCAGGCAATGGAAAAAGCAAAGGTTTAGCAAAGTATTCAGATCTTACTTCTAGGACCTAGGCTGGACCAAATATGAACAGCCAGCAGAGCACCATTATTTAATTTTATTTTAAAGATTAAAAAAACTAACAAAACAATGAAGACAAAATCAAAACAACACAAAGACAACAAAAATGATACATGACTTCAAAACGAAATGATAGGAATCACAATGGTTACTACATTACATACTGTTATCTTCAAGGAAGTTGCTCAGTCCACCAGTCATAAGAAAGTAAGACTGATCAAAGACAGTAACAATTAAAAAAAAAATTGGAAATGATGCAGAGCTTCACCATGCAAGATGGCAGGAGTTCAGCAATGGTTCTTATCCTGCATACTGTTGTTTTCAGATCAGTCATTCTGATTACCAGATACAAGCGTGCAAAATTGGTCAAGAAAAAAGAAAATTTTAAGCACTGACTGTTCCTTCCAATAAACTACAGACATCAGCAATACACCTATCCCAGCCACTCTTGCACATACATATAAATTTTGTTTTTCATTTTAAAGAGAAAGGAAAAAACACAAAATAACACGAACAAATACATAAACAAAACAGCATGGAGAACAATAAAAATGATACAGAATTTCAAAACAAAGTGATAGGAAATTAACAATGGTTGTTATATTACATAATGTCATCTCAAAATGGTTGCACAGATAACCAGATATAGACATGCAAGACTGATCAAACAATTACATATTAACAGTTCCTTTCAATAAACCAACAGACACTAGCAGTACAATTATCCTGGCTGTCCTGTGTATACATATACATATTTTTTCTCTTCCATCTTTCTTTTTCCTCTCCCCTCCTTCATCCCAGTTGCTCTTCCCTCTTTGAGCAGTTTCTTTTCCCTTTCACAGTATCTATTGTACCTTTCAGATTTTATTTACTCTTTCAGGTTCTTATAATAGAGAGGAAATACAATGTTTACATGTGTGAATCTGATTATTTCACTTATGAGTATGGTCTCTAGTTGCATCCATTTACCTATAAAAGCCTTATAGACTTTTATAAAAGACTTATAAGGTCCCTTACGGATAATTAAGTATGACTAGCAGGAAACACAAAAATCTTTCTTTATAGCTGAGTAATACTCCATTGTATAAAAATTCCACAGCTTTTTATCCATTCCAGAGCACCATTCTTTGATTGGAAATATAATACGCATTATTTGCTCACAGTAGATGAACGACACTCTCTCCCCCTTCCCCACTTCCTCGCCCTCTCTCAATCTCTCCCCATTAAATGAGAAAGCATTCATTCTTTAATGTTATAAATATAACTTCCAACTTCTAAATTACTAACATAAAAGAGGAAGTCAGTTTAAAATGGAAGGTGGTTGTGGATTACATCTTCTACCTATTCCTTAAAATGTAATTCAGTAAACATTGTTCAGATATGTGCTCCTTTCCTGATAATCGCTAAACAATGTTTTAGTAGCCCTCAGAAAAAAGGAGGACCCAAGATCAGAGAGCCTAGAGGAACTGCTGGATGTGGCAGTGTTGGACAAGATGACTTACAAGGTCCCTTACGGATAATTAAGTATGACCGGCAGGAAACACAAAAATCTTCAACAGAAATTGTCTTTATATTCGCACATTTTTTCATTTTTCAAATGCCATCAGGTGAGCTTTTATGATCACAGAAAAATAATGACAACAACTGACCTCACCAGGGCAGGGCAGCAAACCCCAAGGTGCATACCCTGACTGGACAGGAGTGGAGCCCCAGGCAAAGGAGAAGAATTTCTGTCAGCTGAGGTGTTGAGTTCTGAATGACGGACAGTGACCTAACTGGAGCTCTCGCCTTCCTCTTGAGCACAGGGTGCTAAGAGCAGGCACCCACGCTGAGGAGAGGGGAAGTCTAGGGCTCACGAGACTCCATAAGGTTGAGAAAATAGAACACGTAGTTAACTCAGTAACACACATCCACCCTTAAAAGATTTCAGATCTAAAATTCACTTAAGTAATGCTAATTTGGGAAAAGCAATATCAAAACACATATTGACTCATTCTCAGATGTTCTAGTCCTGTTTCCATTCTCTTCCCCCCACACCCGTACGCTGCATTCAGGCCTCCTCCGAATCAGCTAAGGGGAGCAACGATGCCAAATGCACGTTTGAAGCACGCTTGTCTCAGGACATGAGAACTGTGATAACCTCTCTCTTTAAAGAACACCTTACCTCTAGAAGCCATGGCTTTAGTTTTCTATCCAACAAAATGTCAAATCCCAGAACTTCGAAACAAACACTCTCACTTCCTGGAGGTTGACCGGGTCTGCACATTCGATAGGCGTGTAGGACATGAGGTTCTGCTACAATCAGGGTCTTTACCACCAGCTCCTATGAAGATCGTGACAAAAGAGGTAAAATGCCTTACTGCTTTATTTCCTTTACATTTGAACAAACATGACACGACCTGAGCCTCCTAACTCGCTTTCTGCGCAGAGAGCTGGGCTCTGTGCCATCCAGCCCGTCACTGCCGTTACCTCATGCCATCCATCTCCCTTCCCATCACTTTACTCTCTTCGGATTTTTCAGGTCAGTGACGCTTCCTCTGTAGGGCCTGAGCACTGGCTACTCTTTCTTCCTGGAACATCCCTTCCCCTCCGTCTGGCTCTGAGATATCCAGTGACATCTCCCCGGAGCCCACTGGAAAATTAACTACCAACCGTTCCTTACAGTATCACGTAACACAGGACTAGTTTTTTCTTTTCATCAGAGCTTAGTTCTTACTCTCTTATTTAATAAACGCCCCCTCCCTAGTGCCTGTGATAGCACATCACACTTCGCAGACGCTTAAAAATATCTGTGAATAAGTAAAGTAAAAGTGAATAAATGTTCCTTCTATGTATTAATATGTACGAGTAGGATTGCGTGTTCATCCCACCCCAAAGGGATGGGGATGACAGGAAAGGAAACTTCCGAGGAGAGAGCATTACTCTGCAAACACCACCCTGGAACCTCTCCTTGGACAAAGGCTGAAAAGATTAGAAAGACAAGATCTACAAGAGTTGAGTTTCTTTGTACAGTGGTGATTTTGCAGTTCACACAGTTTATCTGAGAAAGTAATACTTCCAATTAAAGAATTTACTATCAACTCTTTTTTTAAATATTGAACTTTGAAAGTGTTAATATGAAAGTTGGAATAAGTTTCCCAAATATACAGTGAAACGGTGCAGAGGCTACACTGCATCCTGACTCTGGCACCTTCTAAATGTCACTGCTTTTTCATTTTATTTGTATTAGCACACATTTGCAGCACACGAAGATTACACTCCTCCTAGGGCGCGGATACGGGTACACAGTAAGTCTTCATTCTCTTCCACCTCCTTCCTATCCTCCTCTCCTCTCCCCCTTCCCTCCATCTTTCAGCCTCCTTCCCTTTTGCAAAAGATACTGTTACTAGGATGATTATGGATGCTCATTTTTTAAAAAGTTGTTTTACTGAAGTTTGAGGAAAAGCAACGACTTATGACAAATCGAGCAATCTCATCTGTTTTCATTTAAAATACAGTATGTTAATTCTCTAACTTTTGCCCTACAAGTCAAGCACAGGCAGTAGAGAAAGGCAATAAAGAACCTGACTCTCAGGTCAGACTCTGGGTTTGCTCTTGGCTTTGCTACTTGACACCTGGGCAGTCTCAAATTAGGTTGCTTAAACTTTGACTCTCATTTTTGCTAAATGTGAACTACAAAAGGTTGGTATAAGGACAAAATGAAATTCCATGTAGAACATAGCATAATGCCTATAACAGAGTAAAGCTGCAACATGTTAGCTATTTAACTATTACTGTTAAGACTACCATTTTTCTAGAGTTCCACCTTGCAAGTTAGGCCAGACACAAATATTACACTAGCTGGGGGAAGCAGCATTTATCACACAGCAGAGAAAAGGAAGACAGTCACTAATCTCACTGTCACGCAGAACCACAGTCCAGCTCCTATTAGGGGATAAATATCAGACATGCCACAAAAGGTTGTGAGAAGCAAAATGGGAAGTTTTAAGATACCAAAGTGTATAGGAGGAGAGATAAAAAGCTAAATCTATGGAGACATCTTTGAAAAACTCTTTCCTGTCCTATAAAACTATCTGTGTGAAACATAGGCTGGACAGGGTAACAGTGAATGTTATTTAATAGGCCTTGAATTGCAAATTTGTCTTCTTGTTACATAGAAAACAACACTTTTGGACAAGAAGGGCAAAACTACAAATAGATGTGAAAGTCAGAAGCAATATAACCAAATTAAATTCTAAACAAATTAAATTCTACTACTATTTTTGAGCATTTCCAACATAGAATCCTTCTAAAATATGATTTATATATGTGTCTCTTAACTAGATAAACAGTGTTCAGCAGGAATGCCTTTATGAGTCGTTCTACTCATTTTTTATTTCCACAGCCTGACTTTCTATGGATCTCCTACTCATTCTTGAGTAACACAAAGCACACAACTCTGTTTTTCACAGAGTGATTAATGAAGGTAGGTAGTTATGTAGGTAGGTAGACAGACAGACAGATACATACATAGGTACACAGATAGAGTAGATGGTTATTTTTTAAAGGAATTACCCAAAAAAGGTAACAGAAAAAGGTTTTTAAGTTTAATTCATGGAATTTGTAATCTAAAGTATTAAAATAAAACTTTGTTGGGTAACGGCTCTTTCACTATCTCCTCCTGTAATTCTCTTTTTATTTTATTCCATTGATTTGCCTTAAAAATGTATCAACATAAAGTACACCAATTCTTAATAAAGTGAATTTTCAGATAACTACATAAATGTAGACAAATTGATAAAATAATTGCAATAGAGTATTTGGAAAAGTTAACTGATTATTTCACTAGTCAAAGATGCATTATTAATATACATTCTAACTAACAAGCAAGAATGATGCAAAGCTGCCCCATTTACGACTATAGAGCATGAAATGTGTCATTAGTTGATAGGCCCATGGTGACCATCTTTAGGTCACAGCTAGAAATTAAGCTTCAGGCTGTAACAGGAAAGTTAATTTCCATACTTAGTATTACTGTTAGTCTGGCATATACACCTCCTCTTAATTCCCCTGTGAAGAGAACAGCATCTGAACCACTGTCTTGGAGGATAACGAGGCTAATTTTTGTCTCCAGGTGAGTCCCTCTACACATTCTTCCCTAAAGCAGCCCAATGGGTTTAACATGTTCACAAAGAATCAAACACACATGGAAAAAAATTGATAATGGGAAAAAATAGACTGCCAGAGGGTATGTAAAACTTTCTTGGTACCATCAAACTAGTATCCTTGATCCAAGGACTTATTCATTGAATCATCCTACGTATCATTAGGTAGAACTTTCCATAAATAAGCTACTGTCCAAAAACAACAAATTTCATCACATGGATGCTTCTGACCCAGCAACATAGTAAACTACCATTTTCAGAACAATCTTTGGAATTAGCCTTGGTAAATTAAATAAATAGTAAATGTTTATTAAATAAATAAATGTGTATTTGTGTAGTAAAATTTCTTATTTAGATATAGTTAGTCTCTCAGGAAGATATAATGCAAGATTCATAAACTGGTAGGCATCTGGCTAAATCCAGATAGACCCATTTACATTTTTGAAATTCAATGCAATTCATGAATATGTTCTGCTAACCAGTGAGCAGAATGAACCACACTGAACAAGGAAACCAACAGGCTGGTTCTGACTAGGGGCTGCCCCATTTGGACCTCTTATCCTCCTCCCACAGTGCCCAGGCCTCCTCTCCATCTTCTCTCTAGACCACTGCACTCCTTACTTCTCTGACACCTGTGCATTTACAGCCAGTGCTACGGAAAGGTCGACCAATAAAACAGTCAACCAGAGAATAAATATAATGATGCTGATTTTTCTTTCTGATTCCATTGATGAGGGAAAACCAAGTCCAACCAACTCTGAACTTTCATGGCCATCTTCCAAGATTTATTTTAGCTATATCTTACATGTCCCTAAAAGAAAGCTAAGTTGAACTGTATGGCCCTAATCATATTGAGTATTTTCAACAGATATACTTGTCTAACTTTAAATCTCATTTTAGTACTTCTGCCAGCTCTGATAGAGGACCTACTTCACCAAAGCGACCTGTCCATCCGGTTTCACTCTCATTACCACCCTTTGGAATTTCATCCTTGTCAGGGCTTTGTCAACTACATGCCAAATACACACTCGTGGTTATCTGCTTGACCATTTTCCTGAGGCAGCATTTCAAGTCCAACATAGCTACAGAGGAACTTATCGTCATAGCTTCATGGACTTTAAAAATCTCAACTCAAGTGTCAGTCTTTCCAGGAAGATCCTTCTAGCCGTATCATCTGAAGCTACTCTGCGTAAGCTCCTGTATGCCTTGCTCTGCAGCCCACAGAACCCAATGCCTCTGCTCTGGTATTTCCTACACCGCATTCTGTTGACAATCAGCATGTACGCTTTCCTACTAGACTAAGTTTTTTGAGGATCAGAGCTGTGTCTTCTAGATCTTTAAGGTATCAACCCAAAATAGGCTCCTGCTATGTGTTAAATAAATGAACAATGAATAAGCAAACAAACACTTAACTTCAAGCTGTACATCTTAAAATAAATTCCTTCCTACCCTATTTCAGATAATGCCACACTCGTTCTCCCTACCATTCTTCCTTGAAACTTCAGAACAGCCTCTGAAATTTTCCACCCTGGACATTCAGTTAATCTCACTATTTATCATCTTGTCACCTAGTTTACTACAGTCCAGTTCAGACCATTCTTTTCCCTTCAGCTACTTATAAAAGCCTCCCACAAGAAGTACTCTTAGTCTTTGCTTTAATGTACCCTATTCCTATTCTTACACTTATCTTCTAAATACATGGATTGTTTTGGTCAGATTTCTCTCTTCCATTAAAAACTGGATGAATCGCCATTGTTTACCAGGTTGTGCTTTAACTTTCAGGCCTAAAAATCTGTCTGTACACACAACTCTGCAGCAGTAGGTACTCGCAAATCTCCCATAAAATGTACGTGACTACACGAGTCACCTATCACGGTTCTCACCCTTCCATATCTTTACTTAGGCTTCTGTCTCCCCCTAAAATTCCTCTCTACCTAGCAGAAAAGGTCCTATTTGTCAAGAACGACCATGAGGACCACTTCCTTCAGGAAAATGTTCATCTGCCCAAGCTATGGAATCTGTTTGTTATTTACAATACTTGATGGTATTTTAAACTGACACTAAGAAAAAACACAGTGAAAATCATGGATGTGGTAATCTTACTGAAATATCACTCCAAAACTTGGCGACATCGTGGTGATTTTCGTGTAAAAATTCAGTGAACCATTTAATGGAGCGTTTGCTGCCTTTGTCTTCAGTTTCATCCCGTTCAAAACGCTCGTTATGCTTGTTCACAGAGTAGTTGGTCAGATGCATGTATAACTGGGTCTGTAACAGGTAAGAACCAATGCCATTACCACATATGAGACTCTACAGCTTTATGGGCTCACAGAGAAGGCATTCAAAGACTAACAACAAGCTAAAGGTTGAAATGATACACACTGACAATCTCATGGCTATTTAGCTTTCATTTAAAATGCAGTGACAAATTTGCCTTCAAAGACCTAGAATGTAATCATCTACCGAATCACTTTAAGTATTAATCACAATACTATTTACCATTAAAAATATCAAATGAATATGAATATCAAAAGTAATTAAATTAAAATGTGATGCTGCATATTGCTAAGCAAGAAAAATGCTCCCTGTTTATTTTGTTTTTAATGCTTTGGGCCCTTTCAGTTTATACTCAAATTTGTTTGAGAAAAGAAATTTGGTGAAAAAGACTTACATGCCTTTGAAAAGAAAAGTAAAAATATGAAAGCCCAAGTATACAGTACAGACCAAGAGGCAGGACTGCCAAACTCAGACTGCCAAACTCACTGCTCCACTCGGCACTGGCTGAGAGGCCACTGTGCCTCATGGACCAGCCGGATGGAATGCACCACAAAACGCTGTACAGATCTCTGAATGAGTAACAGCAAATGCATCATGCTCCATACCAGAGTTCCTTATGATCAGTCTCTATTTTTTTTTTTTTTGAGACAGTCTTATGACGGAGCTCAGATTACCCTTCAACTCACTACCTAGCCTATACCTCACAGCAATCTCCCTGCCTCAGCCTCTCACATGCTGGTATTACAGCTACATGCCACCATGCTCTGTTCTAGTCTCTTTATCCTTAAATTTGCTGACATGGTTTTTCTTAAATAAACTTGAAAATAACCCATAATCTACATTTTTCATATTATCAATTAATATACAATCTACTGGTTCATTATCAAAGTAGCATAACTACTCCTCAAATTTTATCTTTCATTGCCACCCTCCTCATGATCCTTCTTCCAGATTACACTGGATAAAAATATTGCATTAGAATGAATACATATTTCATCCACTGGATTATTATTTTGATTTCTTGATAATAACTATATTCATGTTTTACTTTCTTTTTCTACAGTTCCTTAGATCTGCAGTAATAAAATCTTAGAATAGGCAGAAATGATTACCTACTTACACATTGTTGAAAAGTCTATGTGCTTATTAGCACTAATTAAGAATATATTTATATGCTAAATGATATTTAATGAGCAACTATAGAAGTGAAGAACATGAACCATGTAACAATCTGAAAGGAGTAAAAATTAAAATAACTCATACCCTTCTCTGCCTGTCAGCATACAGACTCAACATAATTAATTATTATATACAGAAATTTCCAAGGATTGGACAACCACTACATGGTAGCAAAAAAAAAGAAATGAACATTACATTTCAACATTTGAAACTCTGTCTTATGTGTTCAGTTTAAGAATCTGTAATTCTCATAGAAATGCACCACTTATTACAGAATACATGTTTACTGTCTTAAAAAGTAGAAACACAAAGAAAAAGCAGGTAGTAATCTGCTGCTCAAAATCAACCAGTGGAAGCATTTTGTTTTGTTGTGGCTTTTTCCAAGCTTTCTTTCTTAAGCTTACCTTTTATATAACTGTGGTCTCACTTTACATAAAATGCTGTATTTCACTTTTTAATTTTTTCATATATCAATTTAGGAACTCAACCACAAAAGTGTAGAGAAAGATGTGGAATTTTGGTAAAAGAACACCTTTTCTATGCATGTAAAAACGAAATCCAGAAGCTTATTTGATTCAAGAGCATTTGGCAAAATGACACACACAAGAGAAGTCACACTTCTCTTCTCCCTGTCTCTTGTCATGATTTCCTAATCCAGTGTATTTAAGCAAGTAATATAAAGGTAGCTTAATACATAAGAATGAAGCACCTTATCACCTAAAAAACTTCCACATCTTACTCTCTCCCATAGTACCAAGAGATCACTACCTCCTTACATGTATGTAATCCAATTTTAAAACTCCAATTATTTAATCATAATCTATGAGATGATAATTCTCTAATAATACTTATCATTCAGCTCTCTCTTTTGAATGGCAAGCCCATGCTGTATATCCAAAAGCCTATAGAATAGTTCTGGGGGAGGTTATACAAGCATTTAAATTGAACGTATCAGCTTCCCACAAAACCTTGAATAGCACCTGTATTCCCTTCTCACAGACAGTAACACCACACAGCCCCAGTGCCCGGGCCAAACATTTCCGTTTCCTCCTTGATTTCCCTCTCTCTTGTTCTCTTTCCACAAACCCAGTCCGCCTGTCCATCTCAGATTCTCCACACTGAAGACCAAGTGACCTCTTTGCAAACAAACATTTCATTCCTGCTTTCAATGCTTCACCTTAATTTAAATTCCAAAACCCTAGGTATGCCCTACAAAGTTTTGCAAGATCTGGTTCCCAGGACTCTCCATCCTCATCTCTGAACATACATTCCTCCTTAGTCTGTGTGTTGGCCAACGCGAACTTCCAACTTTTTCCAGACATTCCAGTCTCTTTTACCTCCAATCCATTCTCTTGCCTGGAGCTTCATCCCACTGCATCCCACCCCACCCTAATCTGGCTAACTGCTTGTAATTCTGACTGCAATGTACACACAAGCTCCCTTTCTATCCTTCATCTTTAGCTGGGTTAGGTGGCCCTGCTATGCACTGCCATAGCACCTCAGGCTCTTAGACCATCACACTTACCATCAGGTATTATAAGTGTTTATTTTATTTTCTGCCTCCCCACTAGACTGTTGCTTCTGTGAGGTCAAGCACTGTATCTGTCTTGGTCACTGTTTTTCCAAAACCAGCACAATGCCTAGAACGTAGTAGAGTTCAAACATTACTTGGTGATTGGCTATATCCACACCTTATGACCTTTAATGAGATGTTTCTGTTAACACCCTTTCCTTATCAAAACTTTGACAATTCCTTCATGTTTCCTTTGTCAGATTTGCAGCATTTTCAGTTTATTGAACATAGCAACAATTATGATCAGCTACTATTTAATTCTGAAAATATGACCAATCTTACTGCAAGTAATTGTGTATTATAGTAGAAAACAACAAACAGGCCTTTGACAAAATGGAAAACATTCATTGTAAGTTTTACAATAGTTAGTAGATCCGAAAATAGCATTACAAGTTAACTAAATTTTAAAGTATGGCTCATAAATAACAATTCAACTGATATAAACTGTAAGTTACAGTTTATGATTTTTACAATAAATTAGTTATGACTTTTATGAATGTGTTGTAGTTGCAAAAAGGAAATCTTAACGGGAAAGTACCTGAAAATGCTCCATTTAATATTTTTTTAAAGGCACATGGAAACTACTAACTTATGTTTCAACTCCACATTTGGTCAGTGTAAATATGCAGTCATTTCTCTTTTGTGCTACAAAAACTAAAAACTGTTCAGTAAGTTTTGCATTTTTCTGATTTCATAAGCTACATGTTTGTATTCTACATGTTCACACCTGCTGTTTTACAAAAACTCACTGAAAAGCCAGACTTTTCTTGAGGAGCTGAACACAATTACTGGACAGTTACTTTCATTGCTCTCATAGTTCTTTTTGTCTACAGCCATAGTATCCAGTGTGTGCTGAGAAATCTAGCCTTATTTTTACAGTACCCAGGCTAACTTTCCTAATTAGCCTGCCTAGATCAAGACATACTTTTGTCTAAGTTTTAAAAAGTTTCCGATAAGTTAGAAGCAGTCTTGTTTATGCATACGATTCTTCTAGACCATAAAAATTTGAGAGGAGGAACTTTGACTCATAAAATCATTATACACAATAGATGCTTTAAGAGGAGATACTGAACAAATGAATGAAACAAATTCTTTCCAGTGCCACTTACCAAATTAGACTCGTTAGGTGGAATGTACTTCTCTGTGCCCATTCTCACAAGTCCATCGTGGTAAAGAAATATTTTTAGTGGATCACATGATGTTACAAGAATATAAATTCGTAAATCAAACTTGTAACCTTCCATTAGGAATGGCTTTTCAATATATTCTTGAACGATCAGATGATCCTGAGATGGAAGTTTATCCCCATTTCTTATCAAAGAAATTCTAAGGGTAAAGAAAAAAATGAAAAGAATAACTCAATCTAGAGGCAGGGTGTTCAAAAACTTATCAATATACTCACTAAAAAAGAAAATAATGCAATGAGAAACTCCAACAGTCAAGCCCTCCACAAAAGTGATGAATAGCCAAAAAAAGAATCAACTTTTGAATCACATAAACAGCTAAAAGTCTGCAATATCCAGAAAACAATTAATCAAGAAAAAAACAGCTGGGTCTGTATTTAAAAAAGAAAAAAAACAATTGGCATTTTAAGTTACTCTCATTCTACCACTAAATCCTAGCTCAGCAGTGGCCTTGAACAACAGCCCACATTCCCAGCACAAGTAGTACTAGTTCTTAAGCACGGAATGGGCTTTATTCTTGTGGTTATTCTGACCTGTCTACGGCTGGCTTGCCTTTATCTCGTGTAACTTGTAACTCTACTAGTGCTAAGGTGCCTACCTTGAGGAACAACTGTTGAAAACCTTTAAAAGTAAATGGTTTCTGCTGGCTAGGGCAAAAGATAACACTTGTAGCATACAAGAGAATAATTGAAAAGACTAAGTAAATGCTAGGGTATGAAATTCTTCGTAAAACCCTAATATATTCCTTTGGAGTTAGAAGACAGTGTATACGCCCGCACGATCTGACAAGGCCCTAGCCTCTCATCTCTGGCTAACCATGAAACTATCCAAGCAGAACTGAAGGTGAAGGCAGAGCCATGAACTGAGTACTGGAGGTGATCAACACACACCAGTTACTTCCTATACTGTCATAAAAGAAAATAGAAGATTAAACCGGAAGATTATTACTTATGTATGACTTAATAATAAAGGTAAACATGTAAATATAAATATATTAATATTAAATTTTAACAAATAGATTAAAATGTGTAATTCAATTAGCCTCCTCCACAAATTTCCTTTTTATATTAACACATAAGAAGTCAACAGCCAGGCATGCTGGTGCACACCTATAATTCTAGCACTTGGGAAGTTGAGGCAGTGGAATTGCCATAAATTAAAGGCTACACAGTGAGTTTGAGGCCAGCCTGAACTACACAGCAAGACCTCTCTCAAAAAAATTTTTAAAAAGTCAACACTGAATAACTGATACAAAATCACACTTGTTTTTAAACTACCAAACCATATTTTAAAATAATATATGACTGCATTATGCTTAAAAGTTGAAGCAAATTTCTTAATAATTTAAAATGGTAGCAACCATTTCAAGTATTTTTTTTTAATTTCACAGGATTTTAAATCACAAAATCAAAATGGTTCAAGTATATTTTATTAAAAAGACACAGAACACTTTCTTTGAACATGTGCATTGCAGAAAAGTAAACATAAGTAAGCATAACCAAACAAAAATTTGAAGTTGCAAGTTCTATTCTCAGCTAACATTCCTAGCTCTTGGCACTCCACTTTACAATGTGCTCTATGTGATTCTAAATCCAATTACCATGGCTACATAAAGAAAAATAACTATAAACCGAAGAACACACGTTTTGCTTGAAAAATTTTAGCTATAAAAAGTAACTCTTTTTCTGTTTCTCCAAGTTAACTTAGCTCTACTATAGCAATTTATTTCATTCTCCAAACTTATTAAAATTACAATAAATATTTATGAAGAACTTAGAGAATAGCTTTCTCTTATGTTTTTAACTCCTATTGAAGTCTCACAACCTGTTGATTTAATTTTTAAATTGAATTTAAAGCCTGTGAGACATGTTAAAAGAATAAGGCTCATTATAGATCCAGACCCAAAAAACAACAGTAAGAAACTTACTATTTTTTCATAACAATACTCAACCTGAGTAATTATGCACATTTATTCTTTTCCTTCCATTTTTAAATTTTTTATACTTTCCAAGTAAAAATAAACCTACCCATGACCCATTGCACCATTTGCTGGTTTTACTATGAAGGTTTTCTGCTTCCGTTTTTTCTTCAATTCTTTCACGTAATTCTGAAATTGAGTATATTCAGAAGGGAAGATCCATGTTCGAGGAACAAAAGTATAATCCAGAGGAAGAGACTTGATCATTCTGTAAAGTAGAAACAATCTGAAAAAAATTCTATTCAAATTTTACAAATTTTATTTCCTTGAGCTAGTGATACTACAGATTTAAATTCCTTCCATTTGTTCATTTATCGATCCAGGCAACAAATGTCTATTTACTAAACCCTGCTTAAACACCTACTATGAACAGATCCTGGACACTTGCAGTACATCAGTGGAAAAAAAAACATCAGACAAAAATCTCTGCCATGTTAAGTAGTAATTCACATATTACTACATTGCAAAGCTCTGGCTACATATTGCATTGGACACTGGTGACATTAAAATAAATTAGTGTGGTCTCTGTACCCAATGAATTCACAAACAGGCCATTAATTACAAACCGATGTGATAAATACACAGCAGGTAAGGCAAGGTAACACGCAGAAAGAATCATTAACTCAGTCTAATGTGTGGGGTTACAGATTAGGGCATGTGTCAAGGCCAAGTGCTGTTTCTATTCTCTCTTTAAATATGACTTTAGGGTATTCTGGGTCATCCATTCAAAACAGCCCTGATTCCCTTTTATGGCACTCTCTTTGAGAATTTAACTGCTTTTCTAAGAAAACCACGTGAAAGCCTGTGATAGTATACACAAGTATCATTTATATGAACTACTATACAGATAACTGTATAGCAACAACATATGCAATGATGTTTCTGAATTTTCTATAAATTAGGTTACCTATCTGATGCATAATTTATGGATAATACTAGGTATAAAATGTTTGTTTTTGATAAAGCCCAAATGTTAATTATTTTGTATGTATGGATTCCCCCCATAATGAAGAAATTATGAAAAAGTCAAAACAATGCCTACTGTGAAAAATCTGATTACTTCAAAAGAAGTTTTTCTAAATGTGTGAAGATCTTTTATAGATGAACGGATACTGTCTCTAGTATACACTATGCATAGAAGTAGAGTCTAATTTCTAAGACTAGGTTGTAATGCTTGGATTATGCAACTGGAGATTCACATAGTTTCATATTTTATGTGCTCTTTCAATAGGACTTTAAAAATTTATGCTACCAATATGAAATGGAAAATAATTACCATTTCTATTAAGCCTACAAACTAAATAATCTCAGTACAACATAGAATAACATGGGTTGGTTTGACAATCACGAGCCAAAAGAAATTGAAAAGAAACTGTAATAGCGCTAATGCCCTGCTTTTGTTTCCAACATCTTTAAAAATATTTCTTATATGTCTAACAATATAAAATTAGATCACAGTACAGCTTTAATTTTAAAAATATATCTTAAAACTAATCACACAGTATTTAAAAATGGTATCATGCATTGACATTTGGCAAAAGTATTTTAGCACACATATATTCTAGTGGAAGATTTTATTCCAGTTAGGTAATCTACCTTGAAAAGAAATACACAGCTTTAGTTAGGAATTTGGCAGTCAGATCATTTCTGTTTTATTACAGATTTACTAAATGATATTAAATAATTTAACTATTTTTATTACTAGGTCATACCATTTTTTCCTAATAGAAAAGTATTTCATCTTAAAGACAGTTCCAAGATTTCCAAGGAATGAGAAACGGCTTACTTTCTGATCTCTTTGAATCATACAAAGCAGCCAGAAAGGATCTTTGCACAATGCAAATCTGGTCAAATTACTACTACTCTGCCTCACCCACACGTCCCATATGGCCTTCCAGATAAAGACTAATTCTGAACAGGACTCTTCACCTAATCCCTCCCTACTCCCATCCATCTCTCTGTGCTCCAGCTGCACTTAGCATTTGTTCAGTAACTTCATTATTCACATTTTCTCCCATTGCATGACCTATTCTTCCTGCCTGGATGGTTCTTAGCTACCATCTGTGCCAGTAAGTTCCTATTCATCATTCATGTATCAGTTTCCACCTCACTTCCTCAGGGAAACACTCCCAAATCTCCCTAATTAGGTCTGAGTTCTTTCCTATGCACCACTATAGAACTATGTACCTCTATTTCACAGCACTCATCAAAGTTGCAATCGAGTATTATAGGAACCTAAGTCTGCTTTTGATCAACACGTGTGCAGAGCCCAGTACCATGCCTGCTATAAAGTACGTATTAAATAACAAGCGAAACATATGCCCCAAACTTGAATGAGGTAAGTCCCTTTTTTCCTAAAGCTCATTCTTTTCCACATAATCCCTGATATCATACTACTGGTACCTACATTAATACCCAAGCCCGATACCCAAGAGTCAACCCGAAGACTTCTCCCTTCTCCACCTTTAATTTGCACAACACAGTACTTTTCAAATTGTATCAAACGTGTCTTTCAGATTTATTCCCCTCCCTACTTCCACTATCACTTTTTTGGCACATCAGGCATTTGTCACTTCCTACCTAGATATAGATGATCATCAACTCCAAAACTTTCTCCCTCTAGTTCTATCACCAATGAATTTATTACCCACAGTGCCACAATTTTCTAAAACATCTCCTGCTTAAACTCATTCAAAACCTTTGTATTTCTCTCAAGAGGGATGGTGTGTGGGGGGGTGTACATGTGTTAAATATTGAATGAGATGAATGAGATGAATGAATGAAGAAAGAGATAAAATATGACAACATGGAATATATATCTTTAGCATCACCAGGTTGAGCCTCCTAACATCCTACATATGTACGGGAATTGTTTTAAGGTCCCCAGGATCATGTCAGCTCAGGCTGCCATGTATCTGCTTCCACTGCTATCTTTGCCTGTAAACTCCTTACCTCCTCCTTAAAAACAAACTGTTGCGTACTTCCTGCTGTCCATCTTGTATCCTAACTAGGCCAAAAAGCCTTCCCTGACTTCCTAATGGGGGTGTCTCCCACCATCTCTGTCACCCCATACCTCTAATGTGGCATCATCACACTGTGTATATTGGTAGTACTCCTCCCTCACTAAAAAGTGAGTTCTAGGCAGGGACTACATGTTCTTTATCTTAAAAATCAACAATCTCTGGTACATAAGCTAGACATACCAAAAAAACTGTTAAGTAAATATGTAATTATAAACTCACATAAAATCATACTGCTATTTCTCTAATTATAAACATGAATTGACTTATGAATAGTCCTCATTTAAAAAAACTGCTTAGCATCTGATATTCTTAAACTAAAAGAAATCTTTAAAAATTCTAACCAGCGATATAAAAATTACACAAAACTCTCTAGTTCATTCAGCAAAACACTTGAATAACTTTTAATAGTTTTTCTCATAAAAACAGACTATTACTGTGAATACTGGCCTCAGACATATACAGGCATGTATATGTCCAGATAGCCCAGCTTTCATGTGGCTATGTGTATATGTATGCACACATGAACCTACTACAGCTCTTCACATATGCTACATATTCAATAACCAATATGAATATACACACAGTGTAAAATGTAACAAATTAGTTCCTTTAAGGTTAAACTGAAAATAAGTACCCACTGAATGCCATATACAAATTACCTCATATATAAAAGAAAAATTTCTGTTGCTTAAAAGACAGCAAGTTGCAATCAAAAAAGCTGAGATTCTCGAGACTGGGATTCTGACCAGCACTGCTGGTAACTATTTATTTGACTTTGTACAAGCTACTCATTTCTCTGACCCTCAATATCTACTCTGTAAAGGAAAGGATTAGAACAGGGAACTGTTACGACCATTCTAGCACTGGAATTCTCTCTCTTCCACCTAAATATCATTTCAAATAAATGTAACTTTAAAAAAAATACTATTGTATTCATAACACAAATTTTGAACAGTTCTTTATTACAAGAAAATGAAGATTACTTGGTCATATTTCTTGCTAAGAAATCCTTTCTACAGATCTCCCCCATTCCTGGAAAATGGTTGATCCTCTGGAAAATAAAAAGACAAATATTAATATGCTCATTGACTTAATGAATATATTTGTTTATACTATCATAAAATTAAATCTTCCATTTGAGTTTTATATATCTTAATAAACTGACAATTATTAATTTAAAATATTAAAATTAAGTGGTCTAATTCTGCATGCTTATATCTGGTAATCTGAACAACTAATTTGAAGATAACAATATGCAATATAACAAACAATAATGAATTCCTACCATCTTATCTAGTGAAACTCTATATTGTTTCTAATGTTGTTTTATTATTTTTTATTCTCTTTAATGGTTTGATCAATCTTGCATCCTTACCTCTGGTAATTTGAGCAACTTTGTTGAAGATAACAATATGTACTATAACAACTACTGTTAATTCTTATCATTTTGTTTTGAAACCCTTCATCATTTTTATTGTTTTTGCTTTGTTTTGTTTTTGTCTATGTTGTTATTATTTTGCTATTGTTCTTTTTTATTCTCTCCAAAATAAAAAAAATTAAGTGGCCTATAATTAATTTCTGGAATCAAAATATCTACAGTAGTCAGAGAATAAAATTAGAAAACTTCAAAAGAATCAGAAAAAGGAGATTATATAAATGATAATGTCCTAATGGTCTTTGTTGAATAAATAGTAATTCAACATGCAAATTGCTTTACTATACTAGATTTACTATATGTACACAATCATTGCAGAAAAGTGATGAAAATGGAGTTATAATATATGCTCCCTCTGATCAATTGTGTATTAATCTTTAAACTAGTCAATAAAGGACTACACAAAATCAGAATTGTCTAACCTTGGGGGCTGGGGATTTAGCTCAGCGGCAAAGCGCCTGCCTGGCAAGTGCAAGGTCGTGAGTTCGGTTCCTGGTACCGGAGAAAAACCAAAAAAAAAAAAAAAAAAAAAAAAAAAGAATTGTCTAACCTTGTTTGTATTTAGATTTTATTTGATGTTTATTTTGTCCTGAATATAAAATTCTATTATAAAAAAAACACCAGATTATATATAACTGACAAAACAAGTTATGCCACATCTTCATCTCCCCATGTAATTTATTTCATCACTCATATTTATGTGTAATGCAAAGTACCATCTTAGTAAGGGTGTTTTTTCTCGGGGTTTTTTTTGGAGGAGGGGTACCAGGAATCAAACTCAAGACCTTGCACTTGCCAGGCAGGCGCTGTGCCACTGAGCCAGATCCTTGGCCCTAGTAAAGGTGTTCTTTCCTATTGATTCTTCTCTAAAGAAGGAACAATTCAAAATTAAGTTTAAAAGATATGTAAGTTTCATGCAAAAGTCAGCTGAACTTGATAGCAATAAAACAGTTATTCAGGAGTTAGAAGTGAAATTAATATGTCAACACAGGAATTTACACGAAGAAAATTACCACAGAATTCATGTAACTTTCTCATACCAATACTTTGTCATGTTTAATTTCCCACCTGGTAATTTTGTAGCTCTGCAATCTTTTCTTGCTGAACAGCAGAATCACACCATATAAGGTTACTTGTTTCATCTTCATCTGGAGTTTTCATAAATCCCATTTCATCTATCACTAAACGAACTATAAGTAAATAGTTAAGCTGGAATTAAAATACTTTTGAAACACATTCACTGTAGAATATACATATATAAACACATAATGTGTTATATTGGTTCACAGTGTTTTGTTTGCAAAATATCCACTAGTTACAGCATACCCATATTTTTAATTAGAACAGTTTTATCTGAGACCAAATTATTCTATATAGTAACTGAGAACTGTTTTATCTCATATCCCATTCCTTAATTTCCATCCTTTCAGATTCAACAGGTAGACAAAAGTGCCAAAGGACTTGGTAATTAATTTTTTATTTTATTTTACAGAGGATAAAAAAGTTAAATAAAAATTAAAAATTATACAGAATTTCAAAACAAGATGATAGGAAATTAACAATGGTTGTTATACTGCATATTATTATCTTCAAAATAGTTGTTCAGATTACCAGAAACAGGCATGAAAATTTGATCAAAAATTGAGCATTAATTGTTCCTTTCAACAAACCAATACAAATTAGTAGTACAATTACCTTAACTATCTTGTGTATACATTTTCCCTTCTTTCTTTTATCCTTCCTCTCATCCCAATTGTTCTTTCCTTTTGAGCAGTTTCTTTCCCAATGAGGCACAGTAATTAATCTTACCACTATGAAAATACAAATAGCTGAGACAACATGTCTACTCAGGAAAATGTGCTTTCATGGCTTTTTTCTAACCTGGAGCTAGGTAATCACAGGCAAAGGTAAAAGTAGTCCTGAACACCAGATCTATCTTACACTGTTCACCTCCCTAGTTCAAATTATTGCTGGCACTTAATCCAAGTTATCTTTGTTTACTCAGGGCATTAAATAATGAAAAGGAATTCACAGGAAAGATTTACATACTGATCCTTCCATGTTCCTGACTTGGCAATTCTACTGAAAAATTCATACTCCGAAAAAGGCTTCCTTCTGAGTACAAACTATGTGTTCCTCTGAGATCTAGACTTCAAAGTCAACATATTGCCATTTTCCTTCCAACAAATTTCAAATTTAAAATAAAAATAAGGAATACACTTAGGGTAAATTTGGGGTTCCAATACAATTCTGAGCCCTAACAGAAGAGTATACCTAGACAGCAGTCCCTTAATGTTTTGTTTTTAAAATGTTTTCTTTTGATAAGTACCCTCTGCATTAGAAGAAATGGTATCAACTGTCTGAATGAGCTAGCTCTGTTCAAAACTGGTAACTAGATACCCGATGGTCTGGAGTCCTAACAATTCCTGACCATTTGCTGCCTAAGGGGAAAGGATTTTATATGCAAACACTCCCAGAATGGAAGCATAACAGAGAGGACAGTGAGTTGGGGTGGATGAGCTCAGGGAGGAGACTGGCAGGTGGAGCTGCTGTTTTACAGGAGAAGCTTGGAGTGAAATGAAGTCCCAAGTGATCACAGCAAACACACAACCATTAAAGAAAGCACTGTTCTCTCCCGGGCTGCAGACTACCATGCCGCCTTGGCACCCTGGGACTCAGCCATGGTGTGCTACCTAAAGCTCACACAGAAGGCAAGGGCAACCTCAGCATAGCCTAGGAGATTCCTATAACTAGTTTGCATACAGAAAACAAGGGCTTTAGAAGATCAGCACAGGATCAGACCTATTCCTCAGTAAATGAAAGCCACTGTCTGGGGCCTCTCTGAAATACCTGGAAAGACCCAGACAAAATAAATGAAACTCAGGGAAATTGGACGAAGAGAAGGTAATGAGCATCTTGCACTTGCTAGTGAGCCTCACACAAGCTGGGCAGGCTGGGAACATAGAGGTTATGCAAGAATAGAAGGAAAAATGGAAACAGTTTTTGCAAATAAGGAGGGTAAGAAGGGTTGAAGGGAGGGGAAGGGAAAGGGAAAAAAAGAAAAATCAAGATACATTATGTGCAGACACAAATTCCCCACAATGCATGTTTTGTATATCAAAAGTATACCAATAAACTTTTAAAAAGAATAATGGAAAAGACCTATTCTTTTTCTTATATTCACAAAATCAAATCTGTAAGGTCAATCATATATAAATTTCTTTTATTGTCAGTGTCAAAGCTTGAAAACTGACAAAGCTGAGCTTTAAGGAAAAGGTCAGGTATTAAATTTTTAATTCTTTTTTTAGCTAAGCTATTTAACTGCACTTTTGTTTTCACTGAAATTACAGAACTCAATTAACATCTTTTTTAAGAAAATCATCCACCACTGCATTGGAAAAGAATTCCTCCAATATGTCATAAACTTTACACAAGACATTAAAAAGAAATCTATTACATAAAAGATAGTTATCTCTCTATACAGTTTGAAAATCTATACAGTTTTCAACACCAAATCAGTTTTTCAACCATTATGAAAATCCTATTATTCTGAAGAGACCTACCAATTTCAAACTTTGTCCCAGCAACATTTGCTGTAATGATTCCCTTCTTTTTCTTCTTTCTGACTTTCCTTTTCATGGTGCTTTGATAAGATAATTCTGTATTCAGATTCAGGGAAGAGGGCGCCTGTATAACTTTAAAAGAAAAGTAAACAAGCAAATATGACTGTAATTTTAAAATAAATCCACACCAGAACTACAACACCCTCCTACCACAAAATAAACTATGATACCGTAAAAGTTCATAAATAATTTGAATAACTTAAAAACTTAACAATAATTATCCCGAGCACATTTATATTTTGTAACATGGTACACTGATCTGCTTACCTCCTTCTTGGGGCAGAGATGGCATTATTGCCTGTGGCAGTTAACCAGCAGTGTGTGCTTCTGTACCAAACTCTCAGTAAACCTGGAAGTCCCGCACTAGTCTAAGAATACGGCCCCAAAGCACTGAAGGTTCCTGTCATATTATCTTGGTGGAATCCTCAGATTTCAAGACACAAATTATGGGCCAACAAGGTACCTGTAGAGATTTTCAAACAAAATCATTTAGAAAACAACTTTTAGGTAAGTTTTAAAAGTCAAGTAAAGACAAAAGATAACATGTTCAATCAACAAGGATTTGTCGATTTATTAAACTTTACGTAAGATGCCAAAGTGTGGTTCACTACCCTAAAAGACCACAGAATGTAATGGTGGTTTTATTACACTTTTATATATATCAAATAACATACACAAGCAATGACAACAATAACAAACTTCACTTCCACTTATCAAACATCTGCCATCTGAGGCAATTACATTGTGCTACTTAATCTTTTAGCAAACCTGGGAGGTGGAAGTTTTTACCCCCATCTTACAGATAAATGGAGCTCAGAAAGGACAAATAATTGTGACAGTCTTTATAAAGAAAGTAAACGACAAAGCAGAAATTAAAATGAAGATCTTTCTGAGTTCAAAGCCAGAGTCCTGTAACCAGAAACCCAAACAACCTTCAAACTAATACTTAAAATGTAACTGTGGAAATGCTTTTAATATGACATGGTGAGATAAGTACCAGGGTAGAGATTATTTGCTGACTGAATCCAGAGAAAGGGTAGAGAAGAGGACTTCACAAAGCAGACTGCATGTGAACTGTGCCTTACAAAACGAGAGCAATTTTGAAGGGCAGAAAACAGGAAAAGTCATTACTATGATAATCTCACTTGAGCACAAAGAACTTTTTTTCTAATGAACTACTTCGACTTAGCTGACACTCAACATGGCCTACAGTACAGTCCACTTATATTTGCACCATGAATGTAGGCACCCATGCCCTGATTATACCAGACTGCCACGCTATACTACCAACTTTCTGATCTCTCCCTTCATAATGTTACCATCTTTGAGTTGCTGTAAAATCTCCCTAAACACAATAAAAAGTTAAAACTATTATGATAAACAAAGGTATGATACTACCTTTACTCAGAAGTTATCAGGTTTTATAAGAAACTCTGAAATATTCAGCTACGTAAAATGTAACTTTTCTGGGGACAGAAGCTGTAATAAAGAGGGGCTGGGGGGTCCGAGGGTGGTGTGTGTTTTGCCCTGTGGACTGAGAGCTATGCGGAGGCTCCACTTGCCCCCGTCATGGCAAGAAGACCCACAGAACCCTGATGCTCACAGGGCAAGGTAAGGACCTGCTGAGGGTGACAAGGATCTTTAGAATAAAGCAACAGCAGCAGTAATTTCTGCTTGGGGAAAACAGTCTATTAACCCTTGTCTCATCCTTGCAAGAATGCTTTGTTCCTTTCACTAGCCCACAGCAATTGCCACCACGTTCCAGGAGAGTACGCTCCCATTCTGAAAACGTGTGTGTGTGTGTATATGCTCAATAAATAGTGGCAAGCTTGGAAAGCCTTTGTCTTCACCCATCCTGAGGCCCCAACCTCCCAGTCCTGCTTTATACATTAATAAACTGTCTCTGTCTCATGTTTTATCTTTTGCTGTACCGCTCACACAGGCACTTGGGGATCTTGGCCAGGTCCTGGCAGGAACTCATATATCATCCCAATACTCACTGTTAATAAGACTCATTGTTAAAGAAAATTTAGAGCTTCATTTGTTCTCAGGTATCATTTGTACTGGAATTCTCCAGTATAAACCAGTATCAATGCTAGGAAATCTTTATAAAAGAACAACAGTGGGCAGTGTGTTAAGCCTTTAAAACAGTTTGTCTCAGTAACAAACCCTGAACTTCAGTTCATTATTCCCATTTTCCAAATAGATAAACTAAGGCTGGGTAACTTTAAAAAATCAAAGATAGATAAAACTCAAGGTAGCATGGTTTAGAAATAGAACTCAGTTCCAATGAAATATTCTATCAGGTGAGTTCCACTGTATTCAGACACCATGTTATATGCTATAAAGACCTACCACACAAGGATTTTACAACCCTGCTGCAGTACATACTGCAAGACATGGCTACAGTCTGCGAATTCACAGCAGTTTCACAATAGTTAAAACCAAACAGTGAAACCCACAGTGAACATCTCTAAACTGATCTCTCAGCTCCCAATTCTAAGTGGAAACAGACAAGATCATGTCTCAGAACAGAACAAAGGAGTGGACTAAAGTTCAGTTCAACTTCTTTCTGGAGGCTCTCTGTTGCTTCAGGGAGGTAACTATTTGGGTTCATGAGTTCTTGTCCAACATCTTGTTACTGGAGTAAACAAAGGTCCCCTTTACAGTGTTAGAGGCATTAAAAGTAGCTGAGAAAGTCAACAAGACTTTGAAAACAATATACACCTAATTAAACTAGGCTCTAAAAAGAAATTTGTTAATTTCTAACACACAATGAGAAAAACAACTGTGATTTGTATAAAATTTTTAAAAAAGAATGCTTATCTCTTATCCTCATTTAACAATTTAAAAATTATATTCTCCGTATCTAAACTTTATTGACTTCTATTTACATTTGGTGAAAGTGCCTAACACACCTGACTTCATTACATCATTTTAATTCCACTGATTTAATTTAATTCTAGGCAAGAAATTTAAGATGACAGAGATACCATGTCATTCAAAAAAGCTACAGTTATCTACTTTCACAAAGCTGAAAGTATTTTTTCGTTACTTCTGAAATACGTTAAGCCAGTGGCTTCCCAACACTGGCTGCAAAGTAAAATCACCCACAAAGCTTTAAAAAACCTAGTCAAGACTGCATTTCCACACCAATCAGGGGCCAGTCACAGCACTTTTTTCCAATTTTTATTGTTTATTAGTACAAGTTTACAGCACAGAATATTATATTATTCATGGGGAGCTGGCTCACCTAAGACCATAATGTTAACTGAAATAAACCAGAACAAAGGCTTAAATATCACATGGTTTCTCCTATATGAGAAATCCAAAATATAAATGAGCAAAATAAATAGAGATAATAGGTAGATAGATCTTTTGCAAATGGGAGGAGGACCAAGAGACAAAGGGAGAGAGAAGGGGAGAAGGGGTGAAAAAAGAATTATAATGCGTTATGTACGTGTACCCGGAGCACTTCTCAAGTTCTCCAGTGATTACACAGTGCAAAATGGAAACTTTAACTGTATGCACCTAAAGACATCAAAGCAAATAATAATTACCATGTACACATAGAAAATTAGAAGAAAAAAGTTAAAGATAATACTACTATAAATTTTAAAAAGGACAGAAAAAATAGCTAAAATAATTTATAAAGATCCTCATGTCTACTTTAACTAAAGAAACTGAAAGAATTTTGAAAATCAATAAAAAATTATGTCTACAAAACCCAAATAATTCATTTTTTAAAAGAATCATTTTTTCAAAACATCAAGCAAAGCAACCTTGAATATGGAATTCTCTAGTTCCAAAAGATGCATGAGACAGAAACAAAACCAAAATCAGTCCATACATTTATGCTGGAGAACCCTTTCTTCCAAGTTCTTGTGAATAAACTTTTGCCAAATACTTGAAATTGCGATAAACAGTCACTTTTTCCTGATCATATCTGAAAAAATTAACTTTGCCTTCTCCTGGTCCATCACAGAAACCCTGATTTATACACGATCAAAACTACCAGCCACAAGGGTAAGCTCCATGAAGAAGATAGTTTTAGCTCACCTTGTTCACTTCTCCAATCTCAGGGGCTACAGTACTGCCTGACACAGGTTGGTGAGCACTTGTTAATGAATGTTATGCTCTGACTCTTTATATCCCTCCTCAATTCATGCAGAAACTCAGTCTCCAATGCAGTAAGATCAGGAGGTGGGACTTCTAGGAAGTGATGAGCTCATGAGGGCTCCTCCCTCATGAATAGGACTAGGAACTGTACAAAAAAGGCTTCACATAGTATTTTGCCTCTTTTGCCTCTCCTCCTCTTATGACATGTGAGGATATCATGTTCATTCGCTCCAGAGGACACAGCCACAACATGTCACATTGGAGGCAAAGATTACAGCCATAAGACGTTGCTGAATCTTCTGGCACCTTGATCATGGGCTTCCCAGCCTTCAGAATTATAAGAAATAAGTTTCTCATTTATAAATTATCCAGTCTGTGATATTTTGTTATAGTGGTGTGTATGGATGAAGGCAATAAGCTAAAAAATCAACTACTGTTGCTGGAATAAAGAGAGAAGGTCATGTAGCCTGAGAAGTAAATACATATCATTTACAGTATACTACTTTCACATTTTTAAGTAAAAAGGTGTATTAAAGTTTACATATTATACTGGCACTTGGGTAAATCCACAGAATAATACACGGAATATATGGTGGTGGCACAAATCAGTGGTGGCCAGCTATGGCTGGAGACAGAGCTGTGGGTGACTTATGCTGCTTTGCACCCTGAGCATGTTTCACCTATTCAAAAATGTAGAATGCCTGTGGTAAAAGTTTTGTGTCAATATTATAATGGTGATAACAAAACCATCAAATTCTTTGTTTCTTATCTCCTAGCAACACAGTTTTGAGCATCTAGCTCATTCCCCATTCTATTTCCATATTTGCTCTCTTATGGTATGGTTTTAACCAATCTTACTTAAAACGCGCTACATCTTGTTGTAGTAGTAAACCACTTCCAAATCTCAGGAGATTAAAATAAGCAAGGTCTATTTCTTGATCACACTATATACGCTGTCAGTGTAAGCAGTATGTGTATATGGAACATGCTGTTATCATGTGCACAGTTTGGGTTAAGTGTGATAATTGAAGGAAAGGTTATTTTTTTGTAAAGTGCTACTGGTATTTTCATTATAGTTCATATAAGAATTTATTTGTATTGTTCTTTTTTTGTATTGTTCTATTTTAGACTTAGAACACAAAAAAATAGTCGATGTTGAAAATTTTGAGCTTTCTTTATAAACAATAAATATTAAAAATTCAATATTTTGTGGTATTTTTCCATTAAGTATTCATTGCTTAATAAAATGAAACTCATAAAATTAAAATTAATAATTCATCAATAGAAATATTGTAAAAAATAAACATTTCTGCATCTTGATGACAAAATTAGCCTTAGGTTCTG